ATGTGTTCGATAAAGAGTTAAATGCAAAGCAGGAATCAAAAAGTACTCAAGGAATCTTTTTGAAAAATTCCTCTCTTAATGTATATTTGATTTGCTTTTATGTGAATGTTATGGAGGTTAAGATATAATGCTATTTTCCAGTGGAGCATGATAGAACCAAGGAAACTAATGAGTTGGGGATGGATTTTATAGATGCAAAGTGTGTGCGACAGCCAAATGTGTGGGACACTTTCAAATGCTTTTCTGTAATCAATGTATGCCATATATGTTTTTGTGTATTGCTTATGAACTTGCTGTAGGATAACAGACTTAATGAATAGTTGTTCTTTGCAACCTTTGTGATTTCTACAGCAGCCTTTTTGTTGTTCTATAAGAGTGTTGTGTTCATTAATATGATTGTATATTTTGTTTGCAATGCAAGAGATAAGAATCTTTTAACGTGCTGGATATATAATTGGTCTGTACTGTGCAAGGTCTTTGGTGTTGTTATTTTCTGGTTTCATTTTCTTCCAGAAAATAACAACACCAAAGACCATGCAGGTAGTGCCCTGCATGAGAAAATTTGGCTTGTCTTGTGGATTGTTAATGATAAGAGTTAAATGTTTACCTAGTTTCTGGTGTGAATTTTTGTACCAGAAATTGTGAATGTTGTCTATACCAGGTGTTGTTCAGTTGTGTGCTTTCTGCATTGTGCAGTGGATGTCTTATATATTTATTTTAACACAATGCATACTAGGTGTGCCCTGCATGTCTTTGCTTTTCTTTTTGATTTAGTCTGCATCAGCCTTGTGCATGACGGAAGTAGACCAAAGAGAAGACCAATAACCAATAATTTGTGAGTTCTTCAGTTGGCACACCCATTGTTGTTGGGAATCAGTACTGAATTTGGGATTAATTTGCCTGTAGAAAAGTTTTTAATAGTTTGTGAATAATTTATTTTGTTGTTTCTGTACAGAGAAAATTTTGTAATGTTTGAGTTGCTATGCTTTGGCTGCAAGTTTTTGTTTGAGTGTGTCAATGTATTCTGCAATGTGGACCATATTGTTGTTTGTGCTTGGTGTGTGTTTTAATTTTCTTGAAAAATTTTTTTTTAGCTATTTTATTAATTTAGGTGTTGTTTTGTTGTTAGCATATTGTGTCACTCTACCTAGCTGCTGTCTAATATTGTTTATTTCTGTTTCTATTCTTCTTTGCCAGGCAGACTTTTGAAGGGTTTTTGATTTGTGTGCTTCTATCTGTTGTTGCAGTTTTAATCCAAGGTAGGTCATTACTGTGACTGCACCAGCATAGACTAGTGTGTGGATGTCTGAGAGTGTAGAAATAGAATGAGTGCAATCTGGTAATATGTAAGAGCCTGTACACAGTAGGCGTTTTTCAACGCGCGTTTTAAAGAACCAAGAGTTCTATGTAGCCGTACACACTCAAACGCGCGCTTTTGGCCAAGCGCGTGTTAAACGCGTGTTTATAGATTTTTGTTAAAACGCGCGTTTTGCGGGCGTTAGCCGAGCGCTTTGAGATATATGTGCTGCCATGTTACCGTACATGCGATCGCGCGTTTTCCCGGCGCTTTACGGGCGCTTCTAGATTTACGCCGCCATTTTGCTGTATATTCGATCGCGCGCTTTTGGGTAATATCTACTTTTATAATATGGAGTAAGTCGTCAAATGATTTTATAGACATTCTAAAATAATTAAAAAACTTGAATTTATTTTGTCTTAGTTTTGGATACAACGTCGCAAACATTTCATGCGTCAGTCTATCTCGTAATATTGGGTGCACCCAAAATTCTATTTGCCTCTGCCGTCGTCTTTTATAGCGACAATAGAGGAGCCACACACAAGCAATCACTTCCACATCCATTTCCAAACCAAGCCAGTGCGCACGCTCCGCTAAACGCTCGTCGAACGCTGAGCTAACACGCGTTAGCTCAGCATTCAACGAGCGTTTAACGCACGTTTAAAAACGCCTAGTGTGTACACAGCCTAAGTGTTCACATAATATAGTGTTTTCCCTACTAGTTTAGAAGTGTTGATTTTGGAAATGCATGGCTGTTGTTCAGAGTCAGTACCTGTAAATTCAGTGAGGGCTTCTTGGTAAAGAAGAGAGTGAGTATGTATTAAACCTGAATCTATTTCAGGTAGTGAAGAAGTGTTAATGTAGTCAGCATCAGTGAAAATAATGGTGGTAGGAACAGTATTGTCAATGCATGTATCTTGATGGATAATGTGATTGTAGTTGATGTTGGGAATACAGTGAAATGTTGCTTAATGAGCACCTCTCATAATGAGTAATTCACATAATGAGCAAAACAAATTGTAAAAAAATGACTCGCTTAATGAGCGACGTTTCACATAACGAATGACAAGGAGAGGGAAAGTCCTGGATTGTGTGCATGCTACATCAGTCTGTGTTTAGTACTCGTTCTGCTACCATCTTAGTGTCATTTTTGATCATACATTTTTCCAAACTTGTGTTCAGACATATTACATATAAACATTAACAATCATAGCCCATAACACCAAACAATATGCCAAATTCTTGGGCTATGTAAAGGCTATAATTAAATATTAGAAATTACTATAGCTTGATTATTTTTGTTTTCTGCAAATTGAATTTGCATTCCAAGTTGGTTCATTCCATTCCATGCTAGAAGAAAAGATGAAGATGATTCACACTCCTTAGCAATGTATATTGTATAATTTTCTTTGAATAAACATTTTACATAAAATATTTGAGTATTTTTTTCAGCATGGAATGCATTATCATATTTTACATTAATTTATATGGAAAAATTGTTTCGCTTAACAAGTGTTTCACATTATGAGTAAGATTCTGGAACAAATTATGCTTGTTAAGTGTGGTTCCACTGTATTTGTTTGTTGGTGTAATTGTTCTGCAATTTGTTGTTTGATATGTTATAGTGTTGTTGTATAATTGTTTTCTTTTGATCACAACCCTTTGTATAGTGACTGTGAGATGAGGATATTGTTGTGAAAACAAATGATGTAACTGTTATCTATATGCTGTCATGTCTGTTTCGAGTTTTCTGATGATGTAGTAAGTATGGATGATAAACTCATTCATTTCTTATGTCCATTTCATCTGTTGGCATGGTTTACCTGCCTTAGTGGTCTGTGGCTGGATTACCTCAGAAACATCAAGGTTCAGTTGGTTTCTCACAAATGGTGTGGGTATTGCAGTAAGCCATACTTGGACCAGTGCTGCTTTCACCACTGGGATACTATGATGTATTTTTTGAACATGAGCTCTGCGTAACTCATGAGTGCCGACCTTGTTAACCCAGGTGATGTCTGAGCCTTTATTACACTTGGATCATGTTATCACCATGGTTAGATCTCCTCAGATGTGGGTTCAGTCACTCTTGGCTTCATTTGTCCCCACAGATATCACTGTATGAGTGACCCTACCAGGAGCAGATGCTCTAGCCAGCATAGTTCTGTGGTTCATAAGAATTACTGAGCTCTTACCACAGAAAGGTGGTAAGAGAGTGTTATTATATTATTTGTTGTTGTATTTACATTGTATATAATATTCTAATATACTTTTCTAATTTAGTTGCATATTTAGTAATTTTAAATATCAGTGTTTGATTTATGTTAACTTTATAATGAATGTTTCATTTTCAAATATTTGTAATTTCAAGCTGAAGATGACATACCTTAAATAGAAAAAAGAAATGTCTTTTTTTTTATAAACCACAATATAAACCACAACTTTTTTTTTGTATTAAATAAATTTGTAGACAAAGCTGCCTGAAGAAAGCAGCTCCATTTACATTGTTTATGAAATGGTGTTAGTTTTAACAAACAACTCTAATAAAACCTAATACATTAATAATAAAGTCAATCACTGCCATATGCCATTCAGTTATATAATGGCTATATTAATAAATTACCAGACAGAGGGAAATGTTAGGTGCCATCTAGTAATAAATTTAATTAATAATTATAATTTTAATTAAATAATTTAGATTAAACTGGAAGAAAAGAATTAGCCCGGAGTGGGACTCAAGCCAGCAACTGCCGCTTAACATGTGGATGCATTGCCAGTTATACTACCCGGACCTCCAGTCCTATTTCGTCTTCCAGTATATATATATATATAACATTACGCTATAACCATTGTCAGTTACTATGGTACCAGCTGGGGATGTATCAAGTTCCCTCCTCCTGTAAACTCCCATATAAGACATTCAACTGGCCATCATAATCCCATCAAGGAATATATATAAACAAACAACTTTACTAAAACCTGATACATTAATAATAAAGCCAATCACTGCCATATACCATCAGGCTTTATAACAATTGAGTTACTTATATGGGAGTTTACAGGATGAGAGTGCTTGATACATCCCTAGCTGGCACCTTAGTGACTGACAATGGTTATACGTAATGTTACATATATATACTGGAAGACGAAATAGGACTGGAGGTCCGGGTAGTATAACTGGCAAGGCATCTGCATGTTAAGCGCCAGTTGCTGGTTTGAGTCCCACTCCAGGCCAATTCTTTTCTTCCAGTTTAATCTAAATTATTTATTTAAAATTATAATTATTAAATTTATTATGAGATGGCACCTAATGCTTCTCTCTAGGGTCAAATTGTTTGGTAATTTATTATTAATATAGCCGTTATAGTCAGATGACATAGAGCAGTGGTTGGCTTTATTGTTAGTTTTAACAGGATTAACTATGATAACAATGCTTCTAAAGTGAAGAATTGTTAGAAATGACTTATGCCTCTGGTTCTGCATGCCAATTCCATCTTTTATTTATGTAATATATATATATATATATATTATAATTATTTTAAATTTAATAACTTATTATTTATTAAATTAATTTATTATTAAATGTTATTTATTAAATTTAGGAATGAAAGTAAAGGTCAAATATCATTTGATTTTTTTTCTATGTATTATATAAAATTATATTATTGTAATAAATGTTTATGAAAGATATTTTTATTATTTCTAGTTTTACATTCCTGGAAGCAGTTTTATTTTTCAACCAGAATTATATTTAACAGTTTTTGCACATGTTCCATTTTGTACATCAAAAATACAACAGGTTAGTGTATTTTCAATGTGCACTATAAAAACATGTTATTTTTTTAATGAAATAACTTAAAACATTTCTCTAAATAATATTACACCTATTAGTAATTTAATTTATACATTACTTCATGTGTCTGGCTTCATATTATTATCCATATAAAATGCTTACTTTTAGGTAGCCAACTGTTTAAATTTTCCACAAAGTTTCAGTTTCTTAATGTACACAAGTCAATGTCCAACTCAATGTCCAACTCCAATGTACAATTGACTTGTGTGCATTAAGAAACTGAAACTGTCCTAAACCAGGATGAAACATTCCTTTGTGAAAAATTTAAACAGTTGGCTACCTGAAAGTAAACATTTCATACAGATATTAATTTGTTATAATATTTTTACAATGTGTTTTTTTAAAGTAATTATGAAGTTTATATCTTAATAATAGGTTATTTAATATTTTGAAAAAATTGTCAGTCAAAATATTAAATACTTCAGGTTCTGGATATTTTTAATAATAAGGTTAAGGATATTTGGAAACCTCACTGATTTTTCTGTATTGGTTTTCCCAGAGAGTAATAATTTCATTGTTTTCTTTATAAATTTTATAGATCAAAAAGTTATATCTTACATTTATTCAGGCATTACATCAAGCAGATTAGCTTCTAAATAAATTTCATTTTATACATAGATTTTATGCTCTCTCTATTTGTCTCTACATTATATATCAAATCTTAATAGCCTTTCTGTTAATTTTTTATACCCGATTTAGAGCTAAGTTTTTATGATTGTTTCATTCGTCTGTAACTTTGATTTTGTTCTATGTATTAAATTTAATTTTTCTAAAGAGAATCCAACTAATTTGTAGGTATGTAACTTTTCACTTTGAAAGACTGACAATTTATGTTTACTTCTTTATTTCAACGAAGCTCATGTTCTACAATCTTTTCTATTGTAGCTACTATTAATGAACTTTCAAATAATAACATTCTGTAGCTTCACATAAAATAGTAACAGAATTAGGCTGGATTTACATTTGTGCAGCTAGACATGGGTTTGGTAGCTGATCAGCAATTGTCTTGACAATAAGAGCTTCTGGTTGCCTTTGTGCTGGGGTAACATACTGGTTTGACTGAATTGACATTTCTGTTGTTTGTCAGACTGGCAAATTGAAAGCAAGCAGTTGGAATAAATCTTTAATGACATGTTTTAAAATGGTGTGGAAGGTAGATATGAAATGAATAAATCTCATTTCCACAAAAATATTTTGCTCCAACAGTGTCATTTCTTGTGTATATGTTAATGTTTCTAGTGCCAAACACTATGTATAGTTTTTTTTGTTTTTTTTGTATATATATGACGTGTCGTGTCGCGTTTTGTTGTAAAATTCTGTTTTATTTTATGGTACCGGATTGTGAACGGGTTGGGCCCGTCGCACTAGTTGATTGATCAGTGACCAACATCACACCCAATGGAGGGAAGTATAAATATTGGAACTCCTGTCCAAAGTCTACTTTCCCAGTTCCTGTTTCTTGAGTGATCAACAGACTACGTGGTGTAAGAGTGTTGGTAAAGTAGAAGAAAGGGACTGACATGTGTGAAATTTCGAATGAAGAGAACAGAATCCAAATCCATCATATAGAATATGCCCAAAATAAATTTAAAAACTCACGCCAATATTTGTCTAGCTTCTGGGTACAAATTCACTGAATACGGTGTTAATAAACTTCTTTAGTATTCACACAAGTACTTTCGACGTGTGATAACCGTCGTCTTCAGGCGAAAAGAACAAGTTTTTAAGAAAACGAACGTGCAGGATGTTCCAAAGGAACAAAATATTTAAATTCAAACAAGCGTCTGGAAATTCCGTTACAAACGTGCGAATGATTTTTGATATTTCGAATCTTTATATTTTACGATGCTAGCGGCGTATGCGTGGAGATGCTACCGCGTTGGCGATACGATGTTGGGCGCATTTCGTTTTTTAGGTGCCGATACAAGGCAATCCACACCCCGGGTAGATCGAGGGTGGGAACATTGCATGCTTCTGAAGTGGCCGCGAGAAGCGCTTCCCAGATGAACACAAGCCTTCAATTGTAGCAGCATTTAATTATTGCCGTTCTGGGCCATAACGGGTTGTATCCTTGCTCGAGAACTTTTTTTAGCGAGTTCTGTAGCGCTAAAAAAGTTCTCGTGTTCCCACCCTCGATCTACCCGGGGTGTGGATTGCCTTGTATCGGCGCCTAAAAAATGAAATGCGCCCAACATCATATCGCCAACGCGGTAGCATCTCCACTCATGCACCGCTAGCATCGTAAAATATAAAGATTCAAAATATCAAAAATCATTCGCACATTCGTAACGGAATTTCCGGACGCTTGTTTCAATTTAAATATTATGTTCCTTTGGAACATCCTGCACGTTCGTTTTCTTAAAAACTTGTTCTTTTCGCCTGAAGACGACAGTTATACACACGTCGAAAGTACTTGTGTGAATACTAAAGAAGTTTATTAACGCCGTACTCAGTGAATTTGTACCCATAAGCTAGAATATGCCCATTGTTCATGAACTAAGTGGAAGATATTAAACCAGGAAACATCAAAGGACCTCAGAAAACCATTATTTTTGTTGGTATGTTGATTATTATGTCTTTTTAAAAGGAAAAGTAATACCTTCAATCTTTTTCTCATATAGTGTACGTGTTACCTAATCTTGTAAGTTTAAATAGATTTATGTTCCTCTCATGTTTTAGAATAGATGAATGTTTTGTAAATATTTATGATTAAACCTTTGTTACTAAAATTTAACCAGATTTGTAAAGTCCTTAAAATTAAATTAATTTATCTGTGCCTTGACCCTCTAACATCGCTTAACAGACCTAGGTTTATTGGGGCTTAACATGTGAAAGACCGAAGTTAGAGAATGTCAATATTCTCCAGTGAATGTCGACACATACAAAATATGTCAGTGAAAGACTGAATATTTGGTTATATTATTATACATTTGAACAATCGTCGGTGTATGTTGACAAGCACAGATAAGCTTTGGTGGAGGTCAAAACGACACCCGAAAAGCCGATGTTGACAGAGAGGCGACAGTCTGTTGCCAAATCCTTTGTAGGTGGTCGGAGGTAGGACAAGATTGTACCTCTTTTCCTGGCAACAGTTTGGTAGAACTCACCCACTTTGTCACTGGATGATGTTTTTGTTCTTTTGATCCCGTGAGGTGGGTATTGGTTAGTCAGGTCAAGTGGCAGAGGATGAGAGGGGTTGTTGGTAAGGCGTCGGCGATATCCGAATAAAAGACACCATTAACAGATCAGTTTATAATCATGTAATAACGTAATCAGTTTGTAATTTGTAAAGAAAAGTTACTTTTCATAGATGAGATTTCTTCTCAAGAAATATCGCTGAGAGAAGCAGCTACAACTAATTCGAAAAGTGGAGGGTAAGGCTATACAAAAAGAAGTGTTCTATGAATAAATGCAATTGTAAAAGCAAGGGACTCAAAGTGCCATAACAGTTTAAGTTATTGCAATAAATAAGATTGTATAACATCAATCACATAATTTATGTGTAAATTTATTATTGTATTATTTTCTTTAATGATTTAGAATGTACTGTTCGTTTTAGGTTCTACAGTTTATTTATATGCGCTGTTACTTAACCCCTTCATTCCCGATCATTAATTAAATTGATATAAGATTAATATTAAAATACACTAAAAATACTTAAAACTGAAAAAAAAACGAAAGAAATGCGTTAATTTTGAAGAAAAACCTTCAAATTTTATTTTCCTTTGTTTCGCCTTTCTGTGAAATTTAACACTGATAGTCATTGTTTACACAGCTGGGTGACCTTGAACACAGCTGGAGTCCGATTTCCTGGGACATTCTCATAGACATCTCGGGAGGACAAGGTTTTAAAGTAGGGTGAATATAAGCGACACGGAAATTTTTAAATATTTTTAAAAAATTCAAACTTTTATTGCGATTTCCGNTGCGATTTCCGACCCCCCCGACTTAATTAAACGTATATATAATAAAATCTATTAATTAAAAAAATTAAAAAACTATCGGAGGCCGTTTTTGACATCAGAAACTAGCTTTAAATAACTTTACCGAAGGAAAATCTGTGCACTACAACTTTAGAATGATGAATGAAATATGACATCAAACGTCCATTAAAAAACTATTAAAAAGCAATTAAGCGTGAAGCGTGCGTCATTAAAGGTAAATTAAAATCGCGATAAAATTTTTTCGCACTGGAAAAAAATTTTGAAAAAATTTTGGGACCTAAAAAACATTCCAAAAATTCAATAAAAAAATTTTTTTTCAAAAATGGCCTTAAGGACCACATTTTTCGTAACGCTATGTAGGCTTGACATATATATACGTCAATGGAGACTGAGGGGTTAAGCTTTCTCTTATTTTGACATATTAAAATGTTGCATTTTTGTCTTAATGTAATAAAAATATTTTTATTCAACATTCACCATCAGCGAATGCAACATTTACTGGTGAAAGTGAGAAATAATGATATTTAGCAAATATTTCGTACATACATGAAATGACTGTGTGAATGCTGACATTCACCAGAGACTGTTGACATTCGCCAGATATCGGTCATTTACAGTATATACAGTGGGTGATCGGTTAACGAACAGATCGGATAACGAACAAATCGGATAACAAACACTTTAGCGAAAGATTTTTATGTTCGGATAAAGAACACATGATCGGATAACGAACACCTCACAGAACAAACACAAGAAGAAGCGATGTAAAATAATAAATACCGATTGGTTTTTCCATGTCTTCGGGAAACAATTTGAAACTTTTCGGAGTGTGGGAAACATCGACATCAACGCTCAAGCCGGTATATACCGATCGGATAGTATTCCTCCGAACTTTGAAACTCTCTCTTGTAATTCCAGCCTTTTATTTTTCTGACAAAATAATTCTTTTATGTATTTGCGAGACTGTTGGGTAGGCACTCATTAAGTTTTGCATCTGTTTTTCTTTTCGAAAGGTGGGAGTATAATAGCAAAGGTAGAGAGTGGGCAGAAGATGCCTAATGTTGCTGGGCAGTATGGCATAAACAGGTCTACAGTAGGCAGCAGTTCAATCTTATTTAAGAAAAATACTGTATAATCCAGAAAACTCAAGCAGCTAAAGGAGTAACAAAAATCAAATCTGAGAAATAAAGAACATCGAAGAGTTCATAATGGATCTGACGATACGAAACGGATCTGACGATAGAAGAACGCTAAGAACATTTGAATGAAGAACACCAAGAATCTCGGCGAGGTATGTTTTATTCTGAGAAAGAGGATTAATGCCGATATCTGTTATTAAAGATCGTTTGAAGAAGTGGGAGGATGTCAGAACAACGGTCTTAGAATGGCATCTAAACCAGGTTGAGGCTTGAGGATTTCTACAATTGCAATGCTATTAATTACTTACGAAAAATCCTGAAGAAGAGGGAAAAGCAATCAACATTAGACAGATTCTTTAACCATTTCAAACGGAAAAAAAACATGACTAATAAAAATGCAAGACTGTGTGTGTATGTATTTTTATTATTACGTATAAATAAACGTAATAAAAATGTATATATTTTTTATTTTGTGGGTTAACGAACAATTCGGATAGCGAACAAAGTCTTGGAACGGATTATGTTCGTTAACTGATCATCCACTGTATATCAAAACTTCTGTTAATATTACAAAAACACTAAAATAATAAGTACTAAGTGTGGAAGGTTAATTATGCAATTATTAGGCAATTATTTTGCTTATAAAAATGTCATATACAAGCATAATTAGAGATTATTAATTGTTCCTTCTAATATGACTGTTTTATATTTTTAAGCATATTTGAATTTATAACAAAGAAAATGAACAAAATGCTACTTTTTATAAAATATTGAATATACTTGTATACATATAAGTTTTGTTATTGGTTATGTGAAGTGTTGGTTTCTGGCACAAGACAGACATGTCAATGCTTTCAGATTTTTGTTGTCTGACTAGTTAGTACCACTGATACGAGGCATGTTTTTAAAGTAAGTACCGTTTTAATATAACACTGCTGGAGCGCTGCTGTCAGCACTTAGCGCATGCGCGCTGTGTACCTACGTTTGTTGGGAAGCCACAAATGCCATTACGGAGCCAGTCGACTGTGTTTACTGTTGTTTGTGTGTTATTGAAATACCGCCGCTCATTGAGAATCCCGCCGACTGCGAAGTGCGTGCTGTTATTCGTTTTCTCAGTGCTAAAGGCTCGAAAGCGGCTGAAATTCATCGCCAAATCAGTGAAGTTTATGGTGAAAGCGTTATGAGTGAAGGAATGATATGAAAATGGGTTAGGGCCTTTAGTAATGGCCGCACAAACATTCACGATTAGGAATGAAGTGGGTGACCTTCAGTCATTATCGACGATTTGATTGAAAAAGTGGACTGTAGAGTGAAAGAGAACAGACGATTCATGATTTCATCTTTATCTAAAGAGTTTCCTGCAGTTTCAAGAAGTGTTCTCTATGAAATTGTGACCGGACGATTAAATTATCGGAAGTTGTGTTCCCGTTGGGTGCCGAAAATGTTGACGGAGGAGCACAAAACCAAACGTTTGGCCAGTGCATTGACTTTTCTTGAGCGCTACAGTGACGAAGGAGATGATTTTTTAAGTCGTATTGTTACAGGCGATGAAACGTGGGTAGCCTACGTTACACCGGAATCAAAGCAACAATCCATGGAATGGCGACATTCATCATCTCCAAGGAAAGTCAAGTTCAAGCAAACAATTTCTGCTCAGAAAATCATGTGCACGGTGTTTTGGGACAGATACAGAGTGTTGCTTGTTGATTTTTTGCCTCATGGTGAAACGATCAATTCAGCTGCATACTGTGAGACTTTAAAAAAACTGCGCCGTGCAGTACAAAACAAAAGGCGGGGCTTACTGAGCAAGGGTGTCGTTTTGCTCCACGATAATGCTCGTCCACATACGGCAAATCAAACTCAAGACCTAATCACATCATTTGGCTGGGAACAATTAGACCACCCTCCATACAGTCCCGACCTAGCGCCGAGTGACTATCATTTGTTTCTGCATTTGAAGAAGCAACTGGCAGGGCAGCGCCATAACAATCACGACGAAGTCAAAACGATCGTTCTGCAGTGGTTGTCTCATCAGGCGGCAACATTCTTTGAGGATGGAATACAAAAGCTGGTCCCACGATACGATAAGTGTCTCAATATTAATGGGAATTATGTAGAAAAGTAGTGTAAAATATGGGCTTTCACATAAATAAAAATTTTGTTAAAAATGTCTGCTTGTTTTTTTTATATTTCAAAACGGTACTTACTTTAAAAACACGCCTCGTATTTCAGATCATCACAACCAAATCTGGCAGTTCTAATGTGAATCCGCCTTAACCAGATATGTCTTGGAAAATGAATGTTTCTTCAGTGAGCTAATTCTAAAATATTAGTCTAGTGTTTTGATTTAGTTAGGACTTCACACAAATTATTTTAAATAACTCATGTAACCTTATTAAATTAATTTAATCATCTAAAAGTTTAACATTTCAGGACAGTAAAAGTTTATATTTTTATTAGTAATTTTCCACTACTGTTATATAAAATCTTGTTTTCATTTAGCTGTTAAGAAGTGACATTAAGTATGAAAAATTGTATTTTCAATCATTGTAGTTAACAAAAGTAAGCAAATAATTATTAATTATGATTTGAATTAATATATTTTAAAATTTATCATCTGTATTAGTAATTTTTAAACTTAGTTGATTTGCCTTTAATAAAAAATGTTTAATTTTGTGTAATGTTCATTATTAATTGTGAACTTTTCAAATTATTTGAATTATTACAAAATATATTCTTTACAGGTTATAGTTCAAGGTTGGATTGTTACATCTTCAAATGTTAATGAAATTTTGGAAAGCATTCATAAAAAGTTGTTAAGAATTGGAGCAAATGTTGCTGAAATTACTGCTAATATTAATAGGCAAAATGAATTAGAAGAGGTAAAGAAATTTTATTATAAGAAAATACAAATATGAAACTTTTTGTATAATTATAAAAAAATAATTTTTAGTTGTTTTAGAAGAATGTATCATTTTAACAGAGGGAATTCTGTGGTGAATAGGACATTAGTCCAAAATGTAAAACTTATAACAGTCTTTAAGCATTGTATTGCTATTAAGAGCTTATCATTTGAAGTTTTAAAAAATGATATTTTAAAACTTTTTATTCAGTACTATTAATAAGTTAAATTATTCAAAATTAAAGAAAAGTAAAACAAGGTTATGGCATCAATGTTGGCACTATAAGATAACATATTTATGAAAGAACTTGTACAATTTTATTGTTTAAAGCTACGACTGTATTTTTTTTTTCCATATTAAATGAAGTTATGTCATATTTAGAAGATACAAATTGGAAAACCATAATTATTTTTCTGCAAAAAATTAATAAACAAACCACTAATTTTTTTCTAGTAATTGACACTTGAGAATCCAGTGATTGACAGACATCTCCCCAGTAATTTGTACAGTTTACAACATGACACAGACAGACATGTTAAACAACAAGATTTCCAATTAAAAAGATATTTAATAAATTATGCCCTTGAGATGTAGTGTAGCGTCACCTTAGATTTAAAACATCTCTGTAGAACATGGAGAGAAAGTTATCTTTTCTAAAATTATAATAAGAATATTGGGCTGTTGACTAGACATTATTACAAATAAGTAAATAGTAGCAATTCTAATTCCTAGAGATAGAAAATTAACTAACACAAACTAGGGGAAATAGTAGGCTACTTGGGCCTGCTTAGTTAATATTATATACAGAGAAGGAAACATTAAAACTTAATTCTCTATGCCCCAGATTTGGTTCAGCTAAAATTTTTATAATTTTTTTTGTAATGATATTTCAGAAATATCATTATAAAAACATTATCTGAAACATTATAGACTGATTGTGATGATATTATATGAAATATCATCACAATCAGTCTATACATGAGTTCCTTGGCATTTTCCTCCCAAATTTTACACCAGAGTCATTTTCTATGCTAATTATGAGTCTAACATAATGTTTTTTAGCATTCTTCACAGTTGAAAGCTCTGTTATCATCTTTGTGCCAATGTGAAGACTGGTTTATTCTGAGAAAATCTGATATTTAGCTTCCATTTCTTCCACAAGATCATAGCAGATTTCATTGCTGCTATGATCATATCATCTTTGGATCTCAACTAGAAACATCATTTTTAGTTAGAGGCTTGAACTCAGCTCCAAATGATTGGCCCCATATTTTTTTTCAATTGGATTTTTTTCAAAGAATTGTAACATCCTAGTTATCTAATTTGATCAAAAACCTAGATAATATCCTAACAGTGCATTATATAAATGAGGGGTTGAAAGTGCTAAGCCTGGACTTATGCAGGTAGTAAATAAGAAGGAAATTGTTAGTAAGTCAAAAACTTGAATTAATTACTATATGTAATACAAAAAAATCTATTTATTAGTTTCAGCCTGAATGTGTACAATAATGAAATAAAGTTAGCAAAAAATTGCAAAATATAATGAAGATAATTCATCAAATCCAAAAAAGAACAAATATATACAAAACTTTCCCAACAGTTGGAACAAATTAAATTATAACTATTTTAGAATTATTTTCACAAAAATCAACAAGCAAAATAGGAGAATATATCATCAATCATCAAATATATTTATTCATAATAAGGAATCCTTGTTACAGGGGGTAATGATTAAGATATAAACAATACAAATAATAAGTAAATATAAATTAGTTATTTATATAAAAACAATAAATAATTAAATGAACACAAGTTATTTCTGGTGTTGAACATTCAAATCATTAGTAATTTGGTTGAAGAAATTAACAATTTTATACATATTTATTTTCGTTAAATTACCCAGTTTGGATCTATAATCAAATTCATTATTTGAAGAAAATATTCTTAGAGTTTGAAATTGTTGCTGATATTTTTTCAACGCTGTACAGTCTCTGATTAGATGAAATGCAGAAAAGCTGCTGGAATTACACCAATAACATGATTTGGTAAAATCTATATAATTATTATTCACAATTAAGGAGAATTTATTTAGTCTCAATTGTAGTAATATACGTTTAATATTTAAATTTGTATTCATTGTGATAATGTTTGATTGAGTGGGAAAACTTAAGATATGCAAGTACCAAGGATGATATGTTGAATTGAGTAGAGAATTTTGATCACTAATTATCGATTGTGAAATCGCTGAATCCATCATCATAGTGTAGGCATTATTCCAATTATCAATCGAGTTGTCAAGTAAGATAGTAGATACACCAAATGACTGTAATATTTTATTAAATTTGTAGAACCAAGTTGTATTACTGGTATTATTGTTTTCCATTTTATTTTTCATTATATGAAGTAAAAACGTAATATTATCATCTTTAGAATGCATTAAACGGTAGTAAAATCTGATTAATCTTTTCATAAAGAATGGAAAAATCTGACATCTGTTTGTTTCTAGGCGAATAGCATAACCAGGTATAGTACGTTCGAGTTTAAATATTTTGCGTAGATAGATAATATGGAATTTTTCCAGGTTATAAAATAAATCAATGGCCCAAATCGGACTGGCATATAAAATAGTTGACATTATTATTGAGTTAAACATTCTCATATGAAGATTTAAGTTTGAGATTTTTAAACTAGCTCCTAAATAGAGAGTATTATTTATTAATTGATTTATTTTATTATTAAGATATTTCATATGTGTTTGGAATTTACCATTCCAGTTGAACATTATACCCAAATATTTTATGTTATTGACCAATTCCAACGGTTGATTATTTATATAAAATGATTTCTCTTGATTTGCCAGTTTAATATTGTTTCTGAATATTATTATTTTTGATTTATCAGTATTGATCGTTAAATAAATAGATTTCAGATAGTCGTTCACTTTATTAATCTTATGCTGTAGAGTAACTTTTGTTGGGGCCAATAAAACCAAATCATCTGCGTATAGAATGTAGTGAAATGTTCTTCCATATATATTAATGCCTTCTGAATCATATAAGAATAGCTTATCTATTTCATTAATATAAAAATTAAATAGATAGGGAGACAATGGCTCACCTTGTAAAATTCCTCGATTTATTATAATTTCAGGATATCTCTGTTTTCCGTATACTATATTGATTTTGTATGAGGAAAAAAGTTCCATAATTGTAGTTGTAAATTTGGTACCTACACCAAATACTTTTAATTTGTTAACCAAAGAGGGTACACAAATAGAGTCAAATGCTTTAGTAATGTCAATGAATGCAGCATAAATTTTTCTTCGATTCTTCTTTAAGTATATTTGAATTAGTGAGTTTAATAAGAATATGGTCGATTCAGTTCCTTTAGATTTTATAAAAGCAAACTGTAAATTCAAATTTATTTTTTGATTTATCGTCCATTTTTGAAATCGTAATGCCAATATTGATATGAAACATTTTCTTATGGTTGATAGAAGAGCGATAGGACGATAGTTTTCTGGTGATAATCTATTTCCTTTTTTATAGATCATAAGTAGTTTTACAGTATTCCATGATGACGGATATATTAATTGTTCGTAAAAATAATTATATATTTCAAGTAGTATTTGTTTTCCTGATGGAGGTAAAAGTTTGATGAATTTATTAGTAATTAAATCTGGACCTGGCGATGATTTTATTTTTAGTTTTTCAATGGAGTATTCCAATTCATCATAGGTAAGAGGTGCATCAAAAAAGTCATTCGTTAAGATTGATTGCTGATTATTTAGTGGAATTTCAATAACCGGAAATCTATTAAAATAACTAGACCATATTGAAATGTCTATATCCGGTTGACATTCTAGACAAGATTTTCGTAGCTTCTGAATTGATGATCAAAAAAGTTGATTGTTTTTGTTTGCTATCATTTGTTGTTGAAGTTTTTTAAAATAGTTTAATTTTTTAACTTTCAGTAAGTTGAAATAAGACGTTTTTAGCTGTTTATAGCAGTTAAAAGAAATTTCTGAGTAGCAGTTTCTGAATTGTTTTAGAGCTTTATTCTTCTGAATTTTAAGTTTATAGCAATTTAAATCAAACCATGGCTTTTTAAATTTATACGTTATATTATACTTTGAGTTACATATTTGTATAAATTCTTTTAATATTAGTTCAAAACGATAATATTTGTCCATTCCTTCCGTTGGAACATAATTCATTAGATGTCCAATTCTATTACTAATCATTAGTTGATATTGTTGATAGTTATATTTAATTATTTGATGTGATATTGATTCTGATTTATATAGTTGATTATTTGCTATTTGAATAGACATTTTTATAGGAAAATGGTCGGAGAGATCGTAGTTTAATACTTGAATACATTTGCATAAGTCTGTAATTAATTCTGAACATATTATTAGATCAATTGTAGAACAGCCAGAATTAGTAAGACAAGTAAATTCCACCGGATAATCATTTTTTATTCTACCATTCAGTATATACAATTGTAATTGATTAATATATTCTAATAATTGAAGACCTATTTTGTTATATTTTTTATCTTTGGATTTACGATTATTTTGAATTTCTGAATTTGGTCCTTTATATTTCACATCCATTAATTGGGCAATTCTCGCATTCAAATCTCCTAATATAATAATATATGGGGTAATAATTTTCCATTGTTCGATGTGTTTATAAATATCATTTAAGATTTGCGGTTGATCTGGAGGGACATAAACCAGTATAATGCCTACTAGTCTGTTTAGCAAAAATTGCATATGTGGGTTGGTAATTTGGATTATAATCGATATACTGTTATCATTTTTGTGTATATTCTTAATTATGCCTATATTTTTCTTGATAAATATACTTAATCCACCATATGGACGACCGGGCCCAACTGGCCTATGTGCCATAGTTGATAACACAGTATATTCCACATATTTATCTTTAAACTTTTTATCTGGAGAAGTTAACCAAGTTTCTGTAAGACCAATTATATCATTATTATTTAATAACTGTTTAAACTCAATGTTATCAATTTTTTTCGATAAACCATTACAATTCCAGTTTATTATATTTAAATAAGAATTTTCTTGATTTTTATTATTATCAATTTCATTATTGATTATTTTAGGAGAGTGGCAATTATCGGACTTATTTAAGTCGTATATTCTAAAAAATCCTCTGCATTTACTAGTTGATTTATTAAGAAACTATAAGTTATTCTTTTCTGGTTAATTATAAGGAAATCGTCTCGTAATTTGACCTGAATATTTCGTTTTTTTAATTCGATATAGTAAGGTAATAAAGCTTTTCTTCTTTTCCGAGAATTAATAACCAGATCTACTGACATGTTTAAGTTTTGCCATGGTCCCAATGAATTGTTTTGTTTACGCTTATTAAAGGTGATCAGTATCTCATTTCTCAGTTGATCAGATTTTAAAATTAAACATTTAATATTAATCTTGGAATTAGGAATATTACGGATTAATTTGATTTCTTCATTCATTTTGCATGGAATATTGAGTGAATTATTTAAAAACCTTAATATTTCTTCTTCACTTCTATCATTGAAAATTTTTGAGTAATCATATATTATTAGATTATTATTATTTAATTTGTTTTGCATGGAGTCAAATTTAAATTGTAGAAGTTCATTCTGAGTTTTTAATTTTTTAAGTTCCGATTCGATTATATCGTTTCTATCTTTAATAGTTTGAATTTGTCCAGTAAAGTCACTGATTTCATTATGAATGGTGGTAATTTCTTTGTGAATTAAAGCAAATTGACTTTCTATTTTTTCATTACTAGTCGTTATCAGATCAACTATCTTCGTCCATAGAAGTGAGGTTGAAGTGTCCGATATTTCCATATTTGAAATTGCGGTTGAAGGATTCAAAGTAGAATTTTCACTAACCTGGATAGTTGGTTCTGCTCTTCTTTGTTGAGTATATTCGGTAATTAAATTGATTTCACCTTCAGCTGGTTTAGTGTTGAATGACGATGCATTGTTCGGTTTGTTGGAGGTCTTCCTCTTTTGGGTGGCGTTTTCTGAAGAGGGCCTGGATTCGGTTCAATTCCGGACATTAGTAGTAGTAATTGGGTTAATTTTAAATTAAACATTGTAGAAATAAAATCCGATAAACACAATAGACAAAATATTCCTCAGTAAAACAAAGTGTTAACAAAAACGCACCAATCTCCCTGACGAACGGAGCGCCCCCAAAATAGGAGAATATATCAGAAATTCATAAAGAAATCATACAAATTCACCTAACCATTACCAAGAACTTCTATGTTGTCAATGGAACTTTGAAAGCTTTTTGTCAATCTTGCTCAATCCTTAGCATCACCTCGTTCGGTCCTTGGCAATCATATAGTGCAATTGGGATAACATTACATGCATACGCCCATTCAACCCTATTTACATATGTAATTATTAAGGTTTTATTTATTCTAGTAATTTTCCTTTTTAATTTGTGTCATTGCCCTTACAATTAATTTTATAATATTTTGTTGTATGTTCAATGACAATTTGGGGTGGGAGATTACTCTTTTAACTTCCTGTGGAAGTCTCCTCTCTGGATATCATGGGTTGCAGCTGGCAGTCATAGTAAAGTGAGTTAGTTTTTGAATTTTGTTGGATGAGGTGCAGTAGTCTATCCCGAACAAAATAAAATGCCCCAAAATAAATATAATAACAAACTAAAAAATAATTCCTAAACAAAATAGAATGGGTCGGAATTGACTCCTTGGAATGGAATGAGGAACATTAAAAGTTTTATTGGCTGTATGACATCCTATTTTATACTGCAATGAGAGCCTCGTTCATTGTAGACTTGGAATTTTGGTTTTTTGGTTTAGATTGCTTAGGAGACATAATCACCAGTTGGATATAAGAAAATCTGGAATGAAACCAGAAGGTTAATGATAAGAAAACCATTAATTGACAAAGTTTATCCAGTGTTTGACTTTAGACATAGATCGTGTGATAATAGATATTGAAACTATTGATAGTAATTGACACTACAATGCTTTGGCCTGAAATAGTTATTTGTAGCTTTAGGCAGTATTTTTTAATAAGTTTTCATTACTTAAATTATGGAAATAAAATAAAGCATTATTAAAAAACACTTAACATCAATTAGATATAAATGGATTTTCTCTGCTTTGCTCTTTAACAAAATATTAAAATGCCTTCTAAAGCAGGGATGGATAGTCAGAGTTGGGAGTTGAAGAATCGAGAGTTAGAGTTGATTTTAAAAAATGCCAACTTGGGAGTCATCTGTTTTTCTGCCGACTTCCCATCCCTGTTTCAAACACATAATCTATGGATAATTTACATGAAAATAAGGTATTTGTAACTGTATTCAGCAGAGCGTCGTTTATCCGAAAGTCAGTTATCCAAAATGTCAGTTATCCGAAAGAATTCCAGTCAGCAAATTTAAATTTTCGCTAGTGCTGTGGTGCTGCAATCTTTGGCTGTATCTTGGGCTACTCCAATATTTTTTTTGTTGATGCATGTGTTTTAGCTGGCAGCACTGGCACTGTTTGTGGTGTTTTTCTGAGGACTGTGTGTCATGCTGAATCGAACGTTTTTGATACTAGATTAACTTCTAAAGTATAATTTTTTTTGTTTTTATATTTTTCAATATATTTATTTTGCTTGTAAAAAATAAAAAAATAATTTTTAACGATACAATAGCCACGATTATTATTTTAAAAAGTTTACATTAGGCTTAACATTGACGAAAATTCAATGCGAAGTGACACGCAATGGAGAAAAATTTCAACACGGATTAGGTTAATATATTTTTTCATACATAATCGGTTATTCGAAAAATAAGTTATCTGAACAACCCCAGTCCCCAATTGATTCAGATAAACGACACTCTACTATATAACTATATTTATTAAAAATTTTAATAATAGTCAATAAAATAATAATATAACAAATGTAAAAGTACGCAAAATAATTTGTTAATATTTTTAATGCTAATTTGTTTTAAATTACAACATTTTAAATTTGTCATATAGTTTCTAGATTAGAAGAAAAACTTATTATTACATAAATTAAATATAATAAAATATTAGAACATATTAAAATTGATAATTATTTCTATAAATATCTGTATACTTTTTAAGTTTCCTCTATAACATAAATATTTCTTTAATTAATTTTATAAGTGGTCTGTAATAATAATATTTGTTATGATATTTGACTTTATATGGTATTAAATTGCAATAATTAGCAATTTATTGTTTATGTTGCTCTAAAAATTTATTGTTTTTAATTAAATTTATAAGTCATAAAGATATAATGAAATTATATGAGAACAGATATTTATAAATAACATTTTCTAAGTATATAATCGATGTTCTTATTAAACAGAATTTAGTATTAAATATATTATATTATGTTTATATACTTGAATAGATTTTAATATTTATTATATTATATTTATTTTATTTTATTTTTATTTATTAGTCAGATACAGAACATATGCCTGATGGAATTTTTGATGAACATTATAGCTCTTATCAAAAAAAATCTTTAAATATCCCTTCTGATATTAATGCCGTCAATATGCTTAGATATGGAATATTATCAATACAGTTGCTTCCTGAAAACAGTAGTGCTGGTATGTTATTTAAAAAAATAATTATTTATAAGAAATAAGATATATTAATTCAATTGTTTAAAATTGCATCTTTTTCTTGTAGGAATTATCATTATTACTGATGGAACATTAAGTTTTCCAAATACAACAATGTTAGATTCATTGCTCACCCAGTTACATAACAGTACAATATCTTGCTCATTTCTTCAACTAGGAAGTAGATATCATCCTTTTGCCTGTTTTGGTTTTGTGCCATATGCTGATTTAATGCAATTTATTGCCACTGCTACTTGTGGTGCTTATCTTTCTAACTGTCCAGATGTAGTAAGTAAAAATGACAATTTTTATTAAATATTAGAATTGGTGAAGCTCCAGTTTGTGGATATATTATATGTATTTAAAAAATAAAAATAATTATTTAAGTATAATTGCTGTGGTGGGGCTCTGCTTCTAGCAGACATCCTAAAAAGTGGGAAAGACCCCCCCCAGATCTCTACAGAATGTATTGTGTATATTCTATCCCGCTAGTGGATAACAGATAGCAAAAAGATCTTGTCTATATTGGTTCTACTAAGCGCTCGTTAAAGACCACATTAAAAGAACACCAAGCTGATTACAACACGGAAGGCTCACTACGGCCCTAAGTATTTATGCAACAGACCAGGACATAGAGGCACAGCTCGACAAAGCTAAAATCATCGTAACCACCCTCCAACCTGAGCAAATAAAATGGTTAGAAGCTATGGCTATTTATAAAATGAGCCATAAAAATGCATGCATCAATCAAAAAGAAGAGCTCAACCTATCACCAGCCTGGCAACTTCTCCTGGACAAGAATCTGTATTAATTGACACATGCGCACAATGGCGCATGTCCGTCAGAGCGGAATTCGGCAAACTTTTTGATTTGAAATCTGTTTGATTTTTTCTCAAATATTTCATTTCCACCTGAAGAAGAACTTCATAAAGTTCAAAAACATTTGTGGGACGATTTTTGTAAGATACATGCCGGTAATAGGTTCGTTTTTAAGTGTAAGTGTAGTAGTGAAGTAGATGATTTAGGAACATTTTTAACTACATTAACTAGTCTGCTTCAGGTGTAACTGAAAATTCTTATTTTTCAAAAATGGAACATTTCAATATTCTAAAACATAGAGTATTTTTAAGTTATTTAATTTCCTTATTATGTTTGATGACATTTATTCCAAAATTAAAATTAACGATAATTATTGGTTGAGACCAATTTCTTGGTAACATTTATAAATTATGTAGCTATTAAATTTTGGCTTTATTCTCCCCATTTATCATTATAAAATATTTGTCATGGAGCTGACAATATCTCACAATCCTGTGAGTTGATGCAATTTTCATCTTTGGATATTTTATTAATCTCCAGGAAATTCTGGAACTAAACTAATCATTTTCTTGATTAGTTTAGCTTCCTCCATGTAATATTGGAATATATGTCATCAAACATAATAAGGCAATTAAATAATTTAAAAACATTTTGATATGTTTTAGAACATTGAAGCATTTCATTTTTGAAAAATAAGTACCAGTTAGACTAGTCTGAAGCAGACTAGTGAATGTAATCAAAACATTCATAAATCTTCTATTTCACTGCTTGAAAAGCACCTAGGTTGACTTGGTTGAATTTGGTTCCAGCTTTCAGAAAGTGCAATTTATGTTAAATAAAATCAATAAGCTACCTAAACATTAAGATATTTTATTTGAATATCAATACATACAAATTATTTCTAGAATAATTAATTTTTAAATGATTCTACACTTGATCAGTTTATTCTTGATGTAAGTAAAATAAAATTTAAAATTCTCTATTGTTTTCAAAATTAGTATATAAATTTTTTTGGAATATAAGATAAAGAATAAAATAATTGTTATATAACAATTAAAATCAGACTTAGCAGTGAGAAATAATTAACAAATTTTTTTAACAACCTTAAGCTTGCTGAGATGTAATGATCAGATACAGTGAAGAAACTTTAAAAATGGATGTATTTATTAAAATTAATAAAAACATTTGTTCTGTTAATAAACATTCTATTTTTACTGGATTTAAGGTTTTTTGGTATTATTTCAAATACAGTATTATACCTGAAGAGGACCTATAGAATTTAGGTTGAAAACATTTATGATAATATAAATATATATTTCTCAACAAGTTTAAGGTGATTATGAAAATATGTTATCTATACTAATATTATAAAGAGGTAAAGTTTGTAAGTTTGGATGTAGGGGGTAATCTTCAAAACAACTCATCCAATTTCAAATTTCTTTCAATATTTAGAATGGAACTTCAGGGTGGACATGGGTTATATGTTATTCTGTTAAACATTCATATAAATTAAAAGATATCATCTAGGATTAAAGCTTTTATGTCCAACAGATGGCACTAACTCCATGAGTATGATGACCTAAGTTTGCTTTTCTGTGAGGATGAACTAAAGCAGATCATCTTCTATCTATCTATATAAATAAAAGTGTAATGTTCATTTGTTCCTACTGATTCCTTTGAAATTTTGATACAGCATTGCATTCGAATACGCATGTGTTTTTATATAATACACATGTCGAAATTCCCCCCACTTTGGAGATGGATAGGATTAAGGCTTACCGTAAAGAACTCTGCTTTTATTTATACTATTTTAGATGTGGTTTTTTGCGTTTTTGATTGTGTTTTAATAGGGTACGTCAAGAGAATTTACACTAAGAAGGGATTTTTTGAAAAATTCTCCCCACGGGGGAAGTGTCATACATTTATAATACATTTTGAGCCATGACAATGCGTGGAGGGGTCTGCTAGTTTATTATATTGTTGATAATTCACTACTGTGTTAACTTAACTTACTTAAGAATGATTTAAGCAGCCAGATTATATTTAAGCTACATTTGAGCTAGTTTTTAATTAATTAAATAAATAACAAATTATGTTTATGAGTAGCTGGTTACTTTGTCATCTTGACCAATTTTCATCATTTAATTAAACATTAGCTAGAATGTAAACTGAAAATAATCTGATTATTTAGGGTTTTTATTTGCCTATTTTTTCAGTCTATATAGCATATGTATATATAAATGTATGGTTATATTAAATTACAAATTTGACAATGTTCCTGTTAATGCCACAAGATAGGTAATTGCATCAAATAATACCATTGCAGCATTGTGTTAAAATTATGAACTTGAGTATTTAGACAGCTTTCATTTTGCTGTGTTTTCATTTATCATTGTTCTAATTGAGTTTCTAATTTTGAAGTTTTTACTGTAAGTACTTTTACATTATACATGTTTAAGCCATAATCTAGCATTTAATGTAGAATGCTAATTAGCGTTTAAGCTTGTATAATAAAATCTATAATCTATATATATAAAAATGAATGTATGTGTGTGTCTGTCCTTCATGCATTACCACACAGTTTATCCGATTGCCGTGAAACTTTGGGAAGTTGTTTAATATACTCTGGCGAAGGTTTGTGGCATAGTACGATTGCCATAAAACTTCGGAAAGTTTTTTAATACACTCCCGCGAAGTTCATTTATCCTACGATAGATGGCACACGTTTACACGAGCATTCGCGCACAGTGTGTTCGATCGATTTCAAATTGTGAAGACCATTTCCCCCTTCAAAAAATATCTCTATATATGCATTTGTGAACTGTTATTTACGATATTTGTAATAATTTTTGTTTAATCACTTTATTTCAACTTTTTTTTGCTAATTATGTATTCGCTCGAACTTCGTTAAAACCTTAACTGTACCCCGAACAACAACCGAAGTTGTAGGAAGAAATTCGCGTATTTTACCGATCTAGGTATCCCCCCTTTTCCAAATTTTAATATCGACTCAAAATAATTTAAAAAGACAAATTACAATAAAACGGTTTATTATCCAACTATCAGAAATTTCACAACATGCCAAGGAAGAGAGGAAGGAGCAATTAAATAATTAAAATTATAAAGGATTTAAAAATATATATAAAAATTGGGAATATCGCACTTCTAACAATCTCTGCGAGTATGTGAGCTAAATTTAAAGAATCCGTGCTTCTCACATGTACAACTGTATGTGGCCAGCTCACACGTCGTAAAACCTTCCGATTTATTCGTGTACGCACCAGACGGAAAAACAAAAAATATTGTGTATCCACAAGCACCCCAATAAATAAATAGAATTGAAATGACACTTTGAAAAGTTTTCCCAATGAAAATGAGTAATAATAATAAGTTTCAATAAAAATAATAAAATGTAAATTGAATTTTATCATAACGAGTTTGCTTGAATTTTCTTTCTTCTGAGATCGCAGCAATGCGCGACGGGTAAGCTAGTAATTGATAAATTTAATTATTGTAGATTTTATTATATAGAAACATTAACATTTAAAATAAACCTTAACTATTGTTCTGAATATTTATATCTTAGCACAATCAACAGAACCTTTAACATCCACTAACCAATTTTAATGTAAAAGTTGACAAATGTTTTCAATTTTAAACAAGATCTACATCAGGTCAACAATGACATTCTAAATTTGAATGTTTCTATGCAGATCTTGTTTAAGATAAAAACTGTTTGTCAACTTTTACATTAAAGTTGGTTATTGGATGTTAAAGGTTTTGATGATTGTGCTTAGTAATTCAATCAAATTATTGAGAAGTTTATTTTGTTCATATATATATCTTGTCTTATCCTGTTTTAATCTTATATCATTAGCATCTTTAGAAAAGAATTTGGTCTGGCATTATTAAACTAGATTGATACAGTAGAGCGTCGTTTATCTGAAAGTCGGTTATCCGAAACATCAGTTATCCGAAAGAATTCCAGTCGGCAAATTTAAATTTTCGCTAGTGCTTTGACGCTGCAATCTTTAGCTATATCTTGGGCTACTCCAATATTTTTCTCGATGTGTGTGTTTTAGCTGGCAGCACTGGCACTTTTGTGTGGTGTTTTTCTGAGGACTGTGTTGTGCTGAATCGAATATTTTTGATACTAGATTAACTTCTAAAGTATAATTTTTTTTGTTTTTATATTTTTTAATATATTTATTTTGTTTGTAAAAAATAAAAATAAAATTTTTAACGATACAATAGCCACGATTATTATTTTAAAAAGTTTACATTAGGCTTAACATCGACAAAAATTCAATGTGAAGCGACATGCAATGGAGAAAAATTTCAACACAGGATAGGTTAATATATTTTTTCATACATAAACGGTTATCCAAAAAATAAGTTATCTGAACAACCCCAGTCCCCAATTGATTCGGATAAACGACACTCTACTGTATTTTTAATGTGATTTTTATTTTTTATTTTTTAATATTTTATAAGTATTTGTGTGTGTATTTTTTTCTTTGATGAAATGTTCTTTTTTTAATCATTTATTTTTATTTAGTTGTTGAAATTTATCCACATTAATAAAAATAAAATTTTATTTTTCTAGGATGATTCATATAAAATGAATATATATCATAAAGCATTTTATTCATGGAGTTTTCAGAATCATTCCTTTAAAACAAATCATGAGTTGTTGGATAACAATTTTAATAATGATTGGATTTTACAGTAAGTTTAAAAAGTTTTTTTAATTAAATAAATAAGTTTATATTGTAGGTAATAAATAATATAATAAAATATACTTAAATAAAATTTATTTTTAGCCATTATTAGGTGTTAATGAATTTTATTCTTTGAAAATGGAATGTACTTTATAAATTTATTAAATTCTAAATTAGAATTATATAATTCAATTAATTCACTTTTTGATTTGGTTGTATGTTTTAAGATTAAAACTAGAGGCATGTTAATATTGATTTTTTTTTGTAATTAATAAGTTTTTTGATTTATGAAATGATATTTCTAAATTTATGTAAACAAACAAAAATCATTTTCTTAATATATCTGTTAGGCTCAAAGAATGAAAATGCTTATCGAGCAAAAGAAACATTCACAATGCAATATTCGTGTTATGGCAAAAACAGCCAAATACATTGTGACTAACCCAAAAAGATCACAAAGCGAAATTTGCATTGTGGCTTTCATGATATTTGACCACTGCGCGTTGCAGTGATTAAGAAAAGCCACAATGAGTTCTGAACACTAGCTAATGCAACCACAATAGAGGGTGATGTGACGCACAGCGGTTTGTAACTTTAAAATATGGGTTCTAGCCTCGAAACATTTTTAGTTACAGTTTTTTTTATGTTGAACAATATTACTTATATGAGTTTTCCTAAAAATTTAATTTTCATTCTTAAAAAAAATTTCAAAGAAATAAAATTTAAAAAAGAAATAAAAATACACATTTGGTTATATATATATATTTTTTTTGTTATGCTTAAAAATGCTAAAGGTCAAACTGCATGTACTAGTAGGTGCTTGATGCACTTTATATAATGACATAAAAATCAGCTGCTAAAGTTAAAAAACTATTGTGAAATGGATTTATTATGATTAAAAGCTAGCTACCACAAATTCTATATGTTAATTAATAACAAACTGATGATAAGAAAATAAAACTTTCTTTTTCATTATGATTTATTTATCTTCAATCATATATAAGTAGGTAACAAAATTATTCATCACATACAGAAATGTAACTTGGTTACTTTTCAACAATATTTAATCATTCATGAAAATCTGTTGTGGTGCTCGAGATGTCAACATTTTCAAACAACTAATTTACTAAAAATAATTACTTTGTCAGGAACTTTTATTAATAAATCAGTCTTTTTTATGAGAATCAAGAATGTTGCAAAGTTATTTATTTTTACAAGAACTATTACTGTGACATTTTGAGTTGTATTTTATGTTCTTTGAGCAAAATTTGCATTTTTTATCAATTTAGTATCTTTTACAGTGACACATTATAAACCCTTGCTTACTTCCAGAAGTTAACATGGATGATGAGCAAAATGTTAATGAAATTGTTAATGTACATCCTGAATGTTAATAAAGTTACTTTCAGAAATTGTAAATTTATTTCAAGCATAAAGTTGATCAAGAAGACCTTCCTTGTTTCCTAACTGATAGAGACTTGATGGATTAATGCTCATAACAATAGCTAAAACATTTCTGGGAGCTACATGTCCCCTATCAACATCTGGCATCCTAACTAAAACATTCAAACCAGTTTCAGCTGCAGGAAATTTTGAGTTGAATAGTGAAATAATTTTATGTGCCTGTTTCTCTAGGCTGGATTTAGCACATTCTCTCTCAACATTGATAATGTTCTTTCATAAACAGAGCTTGCAAATAACATTTGCACCAAATCCTTTATTCTCATTGCTTTCTCTGCAGATAACGTGAACATGTTCATGACACTCTGAACACTTGTGAGCTCCTGAGGTTAGTTTGAATTTAGCACTTTTAAGCAAAACAAAAAAAAAACCAAATGTGTATTTTTCTCCATACATTTTATTTCTTTGAAATTTTTTAAGTATGAAAATTAAATTTCTAGGAAAACTCATAGAAGTAATGCTGTTCAGCATAAAAAATCATAAATAAAAATTTGTTGAGGCTAGAACTTTAAAGTTACAAACCACTGAGCATTGTATCATCCTCTATCATGACTGCATCAGCTAAAGTTCAGAATTTGTTGTGGCTTTTCTTAATCACCGCAACATGTAGTGGTTGATTATCATAAAAGTCACAATGCAAATATCGCTTTATGGTCTTTTTGAGTTAGATACAATGCATTGTGACTGTTTTTACAAGTGCCACAACATGAATATCACATTGTGGATGATTTAAAGAGACCATGATGCATTGTGTGCGTTTTTTCACTCAATGAGTGTTTTTGTTCTTTGAGCCTAACATATCTATAAATGCAATTTGTAAAGCTGTATAAAGAAAAATTATAATTTAATATTTAATATACATTAAAACCTAGTTAAGTCAAAATTTAATGGGTAGAAAAATCCTGATTCTGAGTCAAAGCGTTTCAAGTTAATGAGTTTAATAATCAATTATGTCAAATTTTTCTGAGACTCTAAATTTTCTGTTATTAAGCTGTTTCACAAAAATCTATTCATAAAATGATTAAAAATTGTTAAAGTTTATAGTGTTTTGAGGACATTGTCAAGGCACTCCTTTTGTTCAGTCAGAATGCTGATAACATACTGCATTAGTTGAAGGATGCAAGGTTGTAATGGTATGGTGTTGTGTTTGGCTTGGAGTCATAATATTTATTTATCTTAATTATCTGTATTTACGTAGAATATAGGAGAAAATGAAGATTAAGGATCTATCAAAGGGTAGAAGGTAAATGGGGAAAATAAGTTTGAGTTATTACCTATTTAACAATTTTGACTTATTTGTATTATATGAAAACCTGTGACTTGCACAGGACTTATAGACTGATTTGAGTTAATGCAGTTTGATTTATCAAGATTTTACTGTATACTTATGGCTTTGTAAAATTATTTTATGCTTAAAAATTTCATAAACTGTTTAATTTAACTTAAAAAAATATATATATTTTTGCAGATGAAGTTGTTATATGTTAGTTTTTCATTTATGTCTACTTCAGTTTTTTGATTTATTTGTTCAAGGCAGAGTTTTTTGACACCTGCTGGCAGCCACAGGCTAAGTTTTTGAGTTAAGCCTAATATTATTCAGTCATTTATAAAAAATTATTTGTTTTAATTAATTTATGAGTAACTAGCAGATGAGCCTGGTATTACTCAGGCAAAAAAATAACAACAGCAAAGATTAAGATTATTAAATTATTTCATACTTTTAACCCTTGTATTAGATAAATATGGTCTCTGCAAATTTTGTGAATGTTTTCACTTTCAATCAGGTCCATGTGACATTGTCCTTTAAGATAACTAGGTAATCTAATAGTTCAATTAATGTTAACTCACTTAAAATTAAACTTTTATAAATTTGTTTAAAAATTTTCAAACAAATTTATTTATTTTCAAACAAATTTGCTGTTTAAAAAATTGTTTAAACAAAAATTAATGAAATTACTAAAAAAGAAGTAAAATTTAAATTTGATTTTCTTTTATGCAAAACAACACTAAAATAATTTCTATATTTATGTCACAGAATTAAGAGTTGAAAGTAATTAAAAAATTGTAATTAAGGGTTCAAAAAATACAGGCAAAATTATGTACATAATTATTAAAAATAATTGTAAAAAACTAAAACTAAATCAATGATAAATAAATTAAACGTACAAATAATAATTAAATTAAAAAATAAAGTCATAATTAAAACTCTGACTTTTACACCAAAACTGAAAGCAAAATTGAAAATAAAATCAAAACTAATTAAAATCAACTCACTTGAAAATTGAAACTTTTTAAAAACTGTTTAAAAGTTGTTTTGAAATTTTCAAATTGAAAAGTAAATTAATTTTTAAATTTACATTATTTCCATGTGGCGGTGACAGAACATTGTGCTTTTAATTAATATATATACAGATAAAAATTTATTAAAAATAATATAAAAACTAAAACTATATTTGTATATAGCCAAAGGTTATTATTCAAAAATCAAACTTAAAAAATAGTTGTTACAGAAGTAAACAAATAATCATCTCTTCAACTCCAAGTGTGAGTCAAAATAGAAGTCTTTTTGTATCTTCTATCCCTACACAAAGATTTTCTTTTCCTTTGTTAATCCTTTTCATGAATTCATATTGAGTCCACAGAGGAAGTTAATGAGTAGTCCTTTTGAGGAATGAAATGTGGACCCTCACCTATGACCTGATATGATCTACTTACATGCTCCTTCTTTGTAAAGTGTTGGTTTCTACCTATTTATCTGAAGATATTGATAAGTATAACTGAATTCTGATCATAATAAGTGAAGCTCTCTGCATATGTCTTTCTGCTAATTTTGGTAACATTAATGATAATTTGGATGAACAAAGATCCTGCCAGGAGATCCCACGACCTGGAAGTGGTAATACAGGCTAGTTCTACTCATTTTGAATGCTGCTTGATAAAAAAAACTATTGATAAGTATAATGCTTTGTTAACATAGAACGTACTGAACCTGCTAATTATAATTTTATGTTGTGTAGATTAATCAAAAAGCATCTTATCTAAAAAGAACATTTTTAGGTAATACTTGAGATTCAGTACTTAAACTCTATTATTTTGAAGTTCACAAACTCCTATCAGATTTCCACCATTTACCAAAAGTCACTTTTCACCAATGGTGATTTGCATTTCCATTGAAAAAGGTGATGACAACATATACACCTACACCCAGGACAATTCACCATTTTAAAACATATGCATCACCATCCCTTCTCATTTTTTCAGTTTTGCTATACAGTATTAGAATAAACCAAATGGGTTAAAGTGTACCTAGGTAACCCCAATGGCAGTGCTTTGGTTAGGTTAGATTAACTATATTTTTAGTAGATGTTTCCTTTTTTTTTTTTTTATTTTGTTTAAGAATTACTGTGAATCAATAACTAGTGACGTTAAACACTCGGTGACCTGCCAGCCGCTCCCCACCGGGAGGAGTTCATCAGGAGCATGAATAGTTGGAAGCACTGCCATTGGGGTTACCATTGGGGTTAGATATACTTTAATTGCCAAATGATTGCCAGAATTTTGTCTACTTTACTGCTACAGTTAATAAAGTGAGGATTAGACAGAAGTCTGGGTAGCATAACTGGCAATGCATCCACACAGTAAGTAGCAGTTGTGGGTTCAAGTTTTGCTCCAGGCAGATTTTTTTTCTTCCAGAATATTCTAAATTATTAAAATATATTAATTTAATTATAATTATTAAATTTAATAAGAGATAGTACCTAATGCCTACCTCTAGTACCAAATTATGTATTTAATTATTAATAGTAGTGGTGAAGTTGCCCAAAAATCCAGCAATCGTTTGTCTTATTACAAAAATATCAGGCTTTTAGATAATAACGCTTATATAGCTATATTAGAAAAATTTAGGAGGAAGTGTGACCAACAGGAGACCTACTTGCATCCCCTAGTCGAGAGTTACAAGCATCTGTTTTGAGGACCTATCAGAATTGTCTGTTGGTTCTTCAGGCACTTTTGATAGGTCCAATCTATGGTTAAAATGACTGATAACAATATCTGTGATTATAATAAGCAGTATTCTACTGTATTTTTAGATTTATTCATATTGGACAATCAAGAAGCACTGAATTAGTAATAAATTTTTAAAAAATGTTTTTTAAAAATTTATTACTAATTCAGTACCAAGTACTAATTTTTTAAATAACCAAGTGAATTAAAACTTTTGAATTTTTCTATAATTTCAATGTTTTCAATAATAATTAAAAAGTTTTTTTATATTACAGAAATAAGAATTTTTATAACAGTGATGTACAATCGTATATTAAAAAGAAACAAATGGAAGGTACTTTGCCAACTTCTCTCTCAAGCATTTTGTCATGTAGATTGAGAGAAGGTTATGTCATTAAGAGTATAAATATAAATAAGCGTGAGTACATTATTTGTGATTAAAATTTTTAAATTATTATTCTTTCAGATAAATGAATGAAATATTTTCTGGTTACTTTTATATGTTTAAAAATTAATTACAGTTCATATAATTTTTATAAGAAGTTAAATTTATTTTTCATAATTCACAGTTTTTATAATAAAAGTTATGCTAATAGTAAACATTTATAGATGAATCTGACTAAAAGATAAACTATGAGATAAATTGAAGCGTTGATGCTAATTATAATACAGTATGTACCAAAATATACAGAATTGAAATGAAAAAACAAACAATATTACCTTGTCATCTATGAGTTTATTTCTCCTGAAAGAAACTAACATACACACAATTAATGTGTTGATTTACCATGATATATGATATGTAAGTGTTCAAAGCGTGCACCGCCTTGTTGTAGACAGTGTTCCACGGATTCTCAAACATATCCCGGAACAAAGGTTGCTGCTGTCTTCTGAAAACGGAAACAGTTTGTTTGCATAATGCAGGCATAGTTCTTGACAGCTCTTCACAGTTGAATACATTCTCTTTTAACATTTCCCACAAACAGGCATTGGATGGTGTAAGATCAGGAATGGAACAGATATGAGAAGTCAGTACCACATGAAATGATTTGTCATGGAAAGTTTTCCTGCAGAATGGCTAGAGATTCTCTAATGATATGGCTGGTTGCATTGTCCTGTTGATACCATTGTATATTCACGTGAAGGCCTTTGCATGACAGAACTTTCTCAAATCCTGAAGAAATGGTCTGATCACCATGTCTATGTAGCATTCTTGGGTGACAGTAAGAGCATTGTCTTTATTTTCACTACTGAAAGCATAATCAACTGGAGCTATACCCTGTTGACAAATGCACATGCACTTTTGAGATATGAGTTTCAGTACTGTATATTTTGGTGCAAATTGTATTTAAAATTGTTAAAGTCATGTTAATTAAAGCTTCTGTTGCATACATAAAAGAATTATTGCAATTAATTTAATGTTTTAAGCAACGGATACTTGTATTCTTACTTTGTGCTTTGTACACTTTTATTGTGTATAAATACAGTTGTACTCTAATAATCAAAACACATGAAACAGTAATATACTATAGCTGTTTCCATGATAATTATTGATTCCAAGTATGCTAAATATATCTGCTTTTCATACCAAACCTGTGCACATATATCTTTGGAAAAGTTTTTAGAAAAATTATGCATGAGTTAACTGGTTTTACCTAGCACAGTATTGTGTCATATTGGCATTTGTCATACCCCTTTCTAAGAACTGTATGTTTTGGATGCTTTTACATGAAAATCTTAACTCTGGATCTACCATAACCCCCTCTAATGATGAACGTAACATGCCAGCTTATTGAGTTTGTCAGCATACCAGATTCCAGATTAATGGAATTTCACTGTACAACAGATTTCTAATTAAGCTGGGCTTATTTTTCTAACTATTAAACTGCTGCTAATTAATATTAAATAATTGAAACATTATGAACAAATGAATAAGAATATTTTGTAATTATTTATCTATATTTTATTCATTTCTATTTAAAAGATGTTTTTAATTACAGGTGAAAATCAAATTGAAGTCAAACTGTTATTGCCATGGAAATTCAATGTAAATATTGAATATTCAGTAGTGTCACATTGGTTACCTGTTAAGGGAAGGTAAATAAAATAAATATATATTTTATTTATACATGTATTATATATTACAAAGTTAGTTATATTTTATGTCTAAAATTTAGTAACATTCAAAAATTAGAAAACAGTGTCAATTGCTCTAACAAATCTTTGTTTGTAAAAATGTTACTGAAATATATATACACACAGTCAGTAGAATCCAGTTATTATAATTATGGATAATGTTATCAATCTGCTATTGTTGTTATAATCAGTCAGTCCCAAAATGCTATACAAAACTAGTTAAAAATTATCTGCCTATTGTAATCAAACTTTGGCTATTGTTATCAAGAGTGATGAGTACGCTTGGAGACAAATGATAAGAATTCTTAGGAAATTAGTACTAAATGGATCTTTTCTTCAAAACTTACTTTTAACCGAAGCATACAATTTTATCTTTTACGTACTGTAAGGACATGACAAGAATTCTTAGAAAATACATATACTGTAGATCTTTATTTGAAACATATCTTTGGGGATGAACATTCTTGTTGCAATTTCTGTAGTTTAATTTTGTGATTGTTGAGTTAAAAACAATTGTTTATAAGAAATACAGCATATATAAATGTGTGATGTTTTATTAAGTTTACAGTTTGTGATAAATATAAATTGTATACATTCATACTGTAGTTGTTTGTAATAAATTGAGATCAATATTGAAAACTTTTTTCCTCTGTTTAATATTATCAACCAGNAAAATAAGTTTGAGTTATTACCTATTTAACAATTTTGACTTATTTGTATTATATGAAAACCTGTGACTTGCACAGGACTTATAGACTGATTTGAGTTAATGCAGTTTGATTTATCAAGATTTTACTGTATACTTATGGCTTTGTAAAATTATTTTATGCTTAAAAATTTCATAAACTGTTTAATTTAACTTAAAAAAATATATATATTTTTTTTTATGAATCTAATTTATTTTCTTAAGGATCAAAAATTAAGAATGGTTAAGACTCAGATTTTATATTGAAACTATGTAAAATTAGCAACAAATATGATAATATTACTTAAGAACACTAGGTGTCATTACTAAATATAATCAATTGATAAAAGACACACTATCTCTGATCTGAAATTCTGAAAATCAAAAAGCTGTTAAAATTGAGTTTTTCATGGAAGCTATAAGCACATTGAAGCTTTTGTTTAGCACCAAACATATCCTAATGTGAAATATACTCAATCTATACTATGTAAGTGTGTTGCATCAATCATTTCTCAGCACTCTAATAATAATAAAAAATGTCATTGAGTAGCAGAAGCTGTTTCTCACTAATTTTTATTGTTTTGTGACTTTGAGGACTGTAAACGGATAGTAGAAAATGGCAAGAAATGGAAGGAAACATTTGTCATTATCTATAGTACAGAAAACAGAGTTAGTGCAGAAGCTTGATTGCAGCTATATATCTATGTGCCATCTTACTGTTATGAAATTTGAAAAATTTTAAATTTCAAAATATATCTGTTCTTAAGACTGTAAAGTCTTATCTAAGTTATTTCGCTCAAATCAAAAGCCAGAATATCCTAACTATGCATTTCAAAACAACGATTAAAAAGTGCCAGGCCTGAACTTTGTTTGGGCAATAAATATGACTGGAAGTATTATTAAGTCAAAACTTGAAGTAAGGATTACTACACATATTAGGAACAAAGTATAGTTAAAGCCTGAATATGTGCAATCGAGAAATGACATCAGAGATAAATTGCAAAAGTATAATAAAAATAATTTATCAAAATCCAAAAACGAATATGTACAAAACTTTTCCGACAATTGAAGACTTACAAATTTAATTATAACTATTTTAGAACTACCTTCACAAATACCAACAAGCAAAATATGAAAAGATATAAAAAAATTACAATGAAATCTTACAAATTTGCCTAACCATCATCAAGAAACTTCAACATTGCTACTGAAACTTGAAAGTTTTTCTTCAGTCTCACTTGATTTTTAGCATCACCTTATTTGGTCCTTAGCAATCACCTCATTCGATTCTTTATTTCACTTTCTTCTGATAGTGTGGTTGGGGTGATATTACATGCATATGCCAACTTGACTCTATTTACATACTTAATTGTTAACAATTCATTCATTCTAGTAGTCATGCTTTTTAATTTGTGTCATCGCCCTTACAATTAATTTTACAATTTTTATTTTTTGTAAATTTTTTCGTCCAATGGAGATTATTATTATTAAAGTTAAAGACAAAGTCTGCCCAAAAGGCAGACTTTGCCTTTAATTTTAATAAACACAAAAGGCAGACTTTGTCTTTAATTTTAATAAACACCCCATAGGATGGATGGAAAGCAAGACATCTGTATATCACCAGTTCCTTTTTAAAAATTTTTTATAATTTTAATTGGATATATTTGTGATTTTTAAAGGACTTTTTAAAATTCTGGTGGCATGTAGCCTATAAAGGAAGATCTGTAACCATGAAGGTGTAGTCTGGAACACAAGAAATAAATGATGGTCCCTTTGGACGAAAAAAATTTACATTTGTTTTGTTAAAACTTTTGTACACGGATATGAGAGAAAGCTTTTTTTTAACTTTATAACACAAAAAAATAATGTGTAAATCTGATTTAATTTTAAACAAAACAGATTTTTTCCTGTTCTACTTTACTAAAAATTTGCAAATTGAATTTCATTCTAATATTAAACTTAATTATTGGACTTGTAGAGCTTTGTTTTGGATTACAGTTTTAAGCAAGTAACTAACTATACAGTGAGTACAAAAGATAGAAACAATTTTGTCTGTAATTTTATTTCTTAATTTATTTTTAGAAAACACAGCTTAAATATTCCTAAAATGTAAAATTTTAATCTTTTGGCAACACTATCTACTAATGCAAGCAATGCATATGCATCTACAGTTCTAAATCAAAAGAGGTTATTTGAAATGAAGTTTGTAGAATTAATTCAGTGGAAATTTTACAAGATATACTGACAAGAACAACTTGCAAGAAAAACATTGCTAAATTGGATGAAATAGGGTCAGTTTTTTAAATGCTACAGCTGATCATCCAAGAGTCTCAAATGAAACTATGGAAAGAATTTGCAAAATATTCAACAGGAGTCCAACAAAAAAATCCTGATAGAAAGCAAGCTTGAAAGCTAGAATTCTGCAAACTATAATATATATATATAACATTATAAAATTTAAAAAATTCAGATTGCCCNATAATTTTGTTTTTTTTTCAATTTTTGGAATGTTTTTTAGGTCCCCAAATTTTTTCAAAATTTTTTGCCCGCGCGAAAAAATTTTATCGCAATTTTAATGAGCCTTTGATAAGGCTCGATTAAGGCTTAATTGCTTTTTAATGTTTTTTTAATGGGAGTTTTTTTATCAAAATTAATTAATAAATTAAATTCTGGTGGCATGTAGCCTATAAAGGTGTGTACCGTGAATGTGTAGTCTGGAACACAAGAAATAAATGGTGATCCCTTTTGGACAGACTTTGTCTTTAATTTTAATAATTTACAATTTTTTATTGTACATTTGATGACAATTTGGGGCCAAAGATTATTCTTTTAACTTCCTGAGGAAGTGACTTCTACAGGAAGTTAAAAGAATGATGCCAAGATGTTATTTCTGGGTTTGATGTTGTCCTAGGTTGCCGCCAGCCATTGCTGGCAGGCAATGGTTGGCGGCAACATCTAACTAAAATATAATTTCCAAACAAAATAGAACAGGTCAGAATTGACTTCTTACAGACAAAATATATCTGGTCTTATATTCAACATATTGCTATGTCACATTGATGTGAATTAAACTGAAAAGCAATTTAGAAAAACTAGATTTCAACATTGTTGATATACTGTATTTAGTTCCATAAAAATGACCAACAGGATTATGGCAAACAATTAATACTTTACTATCATTGAAACAAGTTTAAAGAAAAAGAAAAAAATTTTTAAGAAAATAACATTTAAATATTTAATGTTTTATTGTTATATAATGACAGAATCATTAATAAAAATAATCATGCTTGCACTTTCTAATGTTATCTTCTTTTAATGGCAAAATAAAATTTTGAAGTGAATAAATATATTTGCATTATCATTATTTTATCAAGATGAATAAATTGTAAGTAATTGGAAAGAATTGTAAAAACTTGAAGGGTATTGAAATTAATGATTTCTGTTAAAAAAATTAAGCAAAAACTGCAAAAGTTTATGAAAATGACTTTTGCAATGCTTTTTTTTTTATCATTATAAAGATTTTCTACTGATTCACTTATAAACTAAACAATTAGAACTATTTTTAATTTAGAAATTTGATTTTGTGTTTGCTGCAACTGATATTAATTGTGTATTTTATAAAAGTGACTTTTTTATTTTCATTAACAAGCAAATAGCATTAATTTATTGAGGTATTCAGAAGTCAGGCCATGATGAATATGAAGGTTATATTGATCCTATTGTACTAAAAGATTTATGTTTATATCTATATATATATATATATATATATATATAAATGGACGTGTATCCCTATATTTCACTTTTCAGCCAAAACTACACATCGCACATGAATGGTGTTTGTATGTGATAGTAGCCCCAAGTCTCCATTCGTGCACTATGGTGGTTGCGTCTCAATAGCTATAAGGGTGCGGGAGATATGGGCTTGAAAGTGGTTGAAAGTGGAAGATTTTCTATTTCGATTTAAAAAATTTTTGAATTCGAATTTAAATTCTAATTGATTTGATTATAGAATGATTGTAAACGTTCCAGAAAATTGATCAAATTGAAAATAGTTCGTTTGACTGGACGTAAAAATTCTCTAATTAGTCTGGAAATGGGGGACCTAATTCTTGCATTTTGTGAAAACGGGGTAAGATTGGCTATAATGTAATTATCTTAATCTTCACTATCGTTACTTTTTGCCCACAAATAAAAACCCAGCGAAGCGGGTCCTTGCAGCTAGTTGTAATATATTTATTATCTCTTATATTAAGCTATTTTGTCTTTATAGTATACTAATAATAACAATTAATTTTTTTAACCAGTTTTTTTAATAATTTTTTTTTAACCAGTTATACTAATTATCAAATGATTATGTGAACCGCCGGGGAGGTTGGAACGGTCGATCTCCCTTTTCAGCTACAGGTCGTTAAACCAGCTCACTTGTCCAGATGGCTAAATTATGAATGCTGTCCTGAAGGGTCGGGATTCTTTTTGGTCAGGTTGAGTGGAGGAAGTGAGAGGGGTCGTCGATGAGGCATAGGCGATATGCGAGCAAATGACACCATTTAATGATGGAAACAATGATTTATTAGATTAATGAAAATTAATGATTACAAACTCTAACATCTTGAGGAATGAATTTAGTTCGCTAGCTCCTAATTCGCGGAGAGAGAGTTCACATTAAATGCTCCATAACTCTAGTATATTTCAATGTAAACGTTAGTAGGTTTATGCCGTTTTCCTTCTGATCAACGCACAAAGTTAAATATACCCTGAGACTTAATCCTCTCTGACCAGCCGTAGACGATAGACTCCCTTGAGGAGGGGTAAAGAAGTCACTTTTATAGCATCGGGCTGGGAAAATTAGTCATATGATCCCCCATTGTGAGAGGTAGAGTTGGTCTTGCAGGTGTGGAGGTTAAAGTTGTTTCCGGAACCAAAACAAAATGATGAATTCAGACTTTAACTATAAACTTTTTGTCTTGCAGCAGAGGAATGTCATTTTTCGAGGGTTGAATGTTTATATTAATGAGGAAAGTTATAAGTTTCTATCGATATTTGATTCCTTTTTTTCGACAATGTTATTTTAACGAGGAGGTGACAAATTTATTTCAAATATGTTGAAAGTTTAGGTGGAAAATGAATCATTTTTGGCCTATTCTGAGGTCGGATCTCACTCTACACAGATTTTTAATATATTAAATAAATTAATTCTATTACATTACATTACATTTTGACTTCTATTATTTCTAATTATGAAAAATAAAAAGGTTATAGATCAAATATTGTAAAGAATATTTGATCTAAAAACTTAAGCTACTGTTAAGATTTAAAAAGGACTTAGATTAAGTGATATATAATATTTTAATTTTAATGAGAAATAAAAATGGAATATGTTAGCTGTATACTTTCTATGTATTTGGTGAAATAGCATTTATATCTATATTTAGTATTATAACAGAATAGCTATCAAAATTTTTTGGGAGTTTTGAATGTACTGATTGGCAGGCATTTCAATATGCTTTCAACATATTTTTCTAAAAAACTTAAAAGTTACAACTATACAGTAAAATACAGTAATACATCTGTGCATTGCAAACAAATTTACCTGTGATAAAGATTGACTAAAGAATGAAAATTATATTAGTGTGCAAGATTGCAAGATCTACATTTCTGGATAAAAATAAAAATAATTACTCTGAATAATTATAAAACTACCTATTGTCTTAGCCACAATAGTCTGATGTTCTGTATAGTATCAAACAGTATAAAACTAGTAGTTGCAATCTGAAAACTGTTTGGTCAATATGAAAGATCTTGAAATCAAATAAGATAAAAGGAATATTTGAGGTAATTTTGATTATATATATGATAGTCATAGCACAAAACAAATTTGATCCAGTAAATAAATTAAGAATTATGAAATCCTAGGCTAATTTATCAATAAACGAAAAAGGTTTCTTCTTTTAAATATTATGGAAGTTGACTGTGTTGCATTTTATTATCTTTGAAGTAATCAGTTAGAATCCTTGTGATATGTTGTTTGCAATCAGTTTTCATTGGAAAATATATATTTTGTGGCAGGACATCATGGTAGAATATCTTCTTGTATTAACATTTGAATTTAATCTTTATGAAGTGTTGGTATATATTCTTAGGCTTTTTGAGCTCTAATAGCTTATCTTTGACATGGCTGTCTGGATTACTAGCAAGACTCTAGGTCAAGGGTAGCGAACCTTTTTGAGCTCGCGTGCCAGAAGTAAGCATACTTAGCTTTAAAGATGTTTATGCATGCCAAAGTTTTAGACTTTGAATAACAATATTTAAATAAATTGAACAAATATGTTTTAATTAGAATAAATGTAAAAAAGCTGATTGAAAAAGGATGATTGTGTGATAAACTGAAAGAATGATTGAAAAAGCTACAATAAATCAAAATTGTATGATATGTTACATGCCAGATAATTTTTCCTTACATGCCACTTTGGGAATGTGTGTCACATGTTTGCCATCCCTGCTCTAGGCTATATATATATATATATAAAGATACTAGCTTACCCATCGCATATTGCTGCAATCTCAGAAGAAAGAAAATTCAAGCAAACTCATTATGATAAAATTCAATTTACATTTTATCATTTTTATTGAAACTTATTATTATTCATTTTCATCGGGAAAACATTTCAAAGCGTCGTTTCAATTCTATTTATTTATTGGAGTGCTTGTGGATACACAATATTTTTTGTTTTTCCGTCTGGTGTGTACTTGAATAAATCAGAAGATTTTCCGACGTGTAAGCTGGCCACATACTGTTGTCCGTGTGAGAAGCACGGATTCTCCAAATTTAGCCCACACGCAGCGATTGTCAGAAGTGCAATATTTCTCATTTTTATATATATTTTTCAAATCCTTTATAATTTTAATTATTTAATTGCTCCTTCCTCTCTTCCTTGGCATGTTGTGAAATTTCTGATAGTTGGATAATAAACCGTTTTATTGTAATTTGTCTTTTTAAATTATTTTGAGTTGATATTAACCGCTTCTTGTCCACTTTTTTAAAAAAATTTTTAATTAAGCATAAAAATAGTTAAAACTGAAAAAAAATGAAAGAAATGCATCAATTTTGGTTAAAAAGCTTTATCATTTAGTTTTCTTTGTCTCGCCTTTTTGTGAAATTTAACACCGACCAGTTATTGTTTACACATCTGGATGACCTTGAGAACAGCTGGTGTCATATTTCCCGGGACATTCTCACGTCTCGGGAGGAGAAGGGTTTAAAGTAGGGTGACTAGAAATTAAACCTATATTTTAAAATATTTTTAAAAAATTATAATTTTTATTGTGATTTCCAACCCCTCTAATTAATTAAACATATATATAATAAAATCTATTAATTAAAAAAATTAAAAAAACTATCGGAGGTCGTTTTTGACATCAGAAAGCAGTTTTAAATAATTTTACCGAAAGAAAATCGGTGCACTACAACTTTAGAACGATTAATTAATTTTGATAAAAAACTCCCATTAAAAAAACATTAAAAAACAATAAAGCGTGAAGCGCGCGTCATTAAAGGTTGATTAAAATCGCTACAAAATTTTTTCGCGCAGGAAAAAATTTTGAAAAAATTTGGGGACCTAAAAAACATTCCAAAAATAAAAAAAAAACGCCCAGTTTTTTTAACGCTATAAACCTTGCTCGAGTCAGACTCGAGCGTGGGTATTAAAATTTGGAAAAGGGGGATCCTTAGATTGGTAAAATAGGCGAATTTCCTCCTACAACTTCGGTGGTTGTTCAGGATACAGTTAAGGTTTTAACAAAGTTCAAGCGAATACATAATTAGCAAAATAAAGTTGAAATAAAGTTATTAAAAAAAAAATTATTACAAATATCATAAATAACAGTTCACAAATGCGTATATAGAGATATTTTTGGAGGGGGGAAATGGTCTTCACAATTTGAAATTGATCAAACACACAGTGAAATGCTCATATACACTTGCGCCATCTATTGTAGGATAAATGTACTCTTCCAGAAACCTTCGAGGGAGTATATTAAACAACTTCCGAAAGTTTCATGGCAATTGGATAAACAGTGTGGTAATGCATGAAGGACAGACACACAGACATACATTCATTTTTATATATATAGAACACACAGTGAAATGCTCATATACACTTGCGCCATCTATTGTAGGATAAATGTACTCTGCCAGAAACCTTCGAGGGAGTATATTAAACAACTTCCCAAAGTTTCATGGCAATTGGATAAACAGTGTGGTAATGCATGAAGGACAGACACACAGACATACATTCATTTTTATATATATAGATTATGTATTTATAGTTATATGTATTTTTATTTGAATATTGATATTTAATATTTTACATTTTTGAAAATATATGTAGATTCTACTTGCTTTATTAATTGAACTATCTTAAACTGTGTCTTAACTTTGTTAACCTCTTTGTTTATCAATATTCTAAAATTTACTATTTTCTGATAGTATTTAAAATAATTTCAAAAATGTTTGTTTAATTTTAGTGAATCTAGTCAAAATTTTACTTCTCCAACTTGTACATATGAAGTGGTTTTTGAAGGTAGTTATGAGCTTCTCCATGATGTAACATGCCCAATGAAGAAAGCAATTCAAAGTTCTTATAGAAATGCTGTAGTGAAACAATTCAGGACAACTTTAAAAAAGTAAGTATTCTATTCTAGTAAAGATATAAATAGTTTATTATTAAAATTATTAATGTTATTATTAAATTATAACAAATTACAAATGATCAAACATATTTACTAATTTGAGAATTTTAAATAACTGTAGTTTGTCCAGAACTGATCAACTTTTAGCCCACATTCATTCATTTTCTCACAATTCTGTTTATTATACTGTGCCAGAGAGCATTAAAAATGGAATTCCAGTGTTTGATTTATTGCCAAATTCTGATACAAATATTTCACTGAAGTAAGTTTATATTTATTATTACACATTTGATAATTATAGAGATTATTTTGATTTAGTGAATNATGGGCTTGAAAGTGGTTGAAAGTGGAAGATTTTCTATTTCGATTTAAAAAATTTTTGAATTCGAATTTAAATTCTAATTGATTTGATTATAGAATGATTGTAAACGTTCCAGAAAATTGATCAAATTGAAAATAGTTCGTTTGACTGGACGTAAAAATTCTCTAATTAGTCTGGAAATGGGGGACCTAATTCTTGCATTTTGTGAAAACGGGGTAAGATTGGCTATAATGTAATTATCTTAATCTTCACTATCGTTACTTTTTGCCCACAAATAAAAACCCAGCGAAGCGGGTCCTTGCAGCTAGTTGTAATATATTTATTATCTCTTATATTAAGCTATTTTGTCTTTATAGTATACTAATAATAACAATTAATTTTTTTAACCAGTTTTTTTAATAATTTTTTTTTAACCAGTTATACTAATTATCAAATGATTATGTGAACCGCCGGGGAGGTTGGAACGGTCGATCTCCCTTTTCAGCTACAGGTCGTTAAACCAGCTCACTTGTCCAGATGGCTAAATTATGAATGCTGTCCTGAAGGGTCGGGATTCTTTTTGGTCAGGTTGAGTGGAGGAAGTGAGAGGGGTCGTCGATGAGGCATAGGCGATATGCGAGCAAATGACACCATTTAATGATGGAAACAATGATTTATTAGATTAATGAAAATTAATGATTACAAACTCTAACATCTTGAGGAATGAATTTAGTTCGCTAGCTCCTAATTCGCGGAGAGAGAGTTCACATTAAATGCTCCATAACTCTAGTATATTTCAATGTAAACGTTAGTAGGTTTATGCCGTTTTCCTTCTGATCAACGCACAAAGTTAAATATACCCTGAGACTTAATCCTCTCTGACCAGCCGTAGACGATAGACTCCCTTGAGGAGGGGTAAAGAAGTCACTTTTATAGCATCGGGCTGGGAAAATTAGTCATATGATCCCCCATTGTGAGAGGTAGAGTTGGTCTTGCAGGTGTGGAGGTTAAAGTTGTTTCCGGAACCAAAACAAAATGATGAATTCAGACTTTAACTATAAACTTTTTGTCTTGCAGCAGAGGAATGTCATTTTTCGAGGGTTGAATGTTTATATTAATGAGGAAAGTTATAAGTTTCTATCGATATTTGATTCCTTTTTTTCGACAATGTTATTTTAACGAGGAGGTGACAAATTTATTTCAAATATGTTGAAAGTTTAGGTGGAAAATGAATCATTTTTGGCCTATTCTGAGGTCGGATCTCACTCTACACAGATTTTTAATATATTAAATAAATTAATTCTATTACATTACATTACATTTTGACTTCTATTATTTCTAATTATGAAAAATAAAAAGGTTATAGATCAAATATTGTAAAGAATATTTGATCTAAAAACTTAAGCTACTGTTAAGATTTAAAAAGGACTTAGATTAAGTGATATATAATATTTTAATTTTAATGAGAAATAAAAATGGAATATGTTAGCTGTATACTTTCTATGTATTTGGTGAAATAGCATTTATATCTATATTTAGTATTATAACAGAATAGCTATCAAAATTTTTTGGGAGTTTTGAATGTACTGATTGGCAGGCATTTCAATATGCTTTCAACATATTTTTCTAAAAAACTTAAAAGTTACAACTATACAGTAAAATACAGTAATACATCTGTGCATTGCAAACAAATTTACCTGTGATAAAGATTGACTAAAGAATGAAAATTATATTAGTGTGCAAGATTGCAAGATCTACATTTCTGGATAAAAATAAAAATAATTACTCTGAATAATTATAAAACTACCTATTGTCTTAGCCACAATAGTCTGATGTTCTGTATAGTATCAAACAGTATAAAACTAGTAGTTGCAATCTGAAAACTGTTTGGTCAATATGAAAGATCTTGAAATCAAATAAGATAAAAGGAATATTTGAGGTAATTTTGATTATATATATGATAGTCATAGCACAAAACAAATTTGATCCAGTAAATAAATTAAGAATTATGAAATCCTAGGCTAATTTATCAATAAACGAAAAAGGTTTCTTCTTTTAAATATTATGGAAGTTGACTGTGTTGCATTTTATTATCTTTGAAGTAATCAGTTAGAATCCTTGTGATATGTTGTTTGCAATCAGTTTTCATTGGAAAATATATATTTTGTGGCAGGACATCATGGTAGAATATCTTCTTGTATTAACATTTGAATTTAATCTTTATGAAGTGTTGGTATATATTCTTAGGCTTTTTGAGCTCTAATAGCTTATCTTTGACATGGCTGTCTGGATTACTAGCAAGACTCTAGGTCAAGGGTAGCGAACCTTTTTGAGCTCGCGTGCCAGAAGTAAGCATACTTAGCTTTAAAGATGTTTATGCATGCCAAAGTTTTAGACTTTGAATAACAATATTTAAATAAATTGAACAAATATGTTTTAATTAGAATAAATGTAAAAAAGCTGATTGAAAAAGGATGATTGTGTGATAAACTGAAAGAATGATTGAAAAAGCTACAATAAATCAAAATTGTATGATATGTTACATGCCAGATAATTTTTCCTTACATGCCACTTTGGGAATGTGTGTCACATGTTTGCCATCCCTGCTCTAGGCTATATATATATATATATAAAGATACTAGCTTACCCATCGCATATTGCTGCAATCTCAGAAGAAAGAAAATTCAAGCAAACTCATTATGATAAAATTCAATTTACATTTTATCATTTTTATTGAAACTTATTATTATTCATTTTCATCGGGAAAACATTTCAAAGCGTCGTTTCAATTCTATTTATTTATTGGAGTGCTTGTGGATACACAATATTTTTTGTTTTTCCGTCTGGTGTGTACTTGAATAAATCAGAAGATTTTCCGACGTGTAAGCTGGCCACATACTGTTGTCCGTGTGAGAAGCACGGATTCTCCAAATTTAGCCCACACGCAGCGATTGTCAGAAGTGCAATATTTCTCATTTTTATATATATTTTTCAAATCCTTTATAATTTTAATTATTTAATTGCTCCTTCCTCTCTTCCTTGGCATGTTGTGAAATTTCTGATAGTTGGATAATAAACCGTTTTATTGTAATTTGTCTTTTTAAATTATTTTGAGTTGATATTAACCGCTTCTTGTCCACTTTTTTAAAAAAATTTTTAATTAAGCATAAAAATAGTTAAAACTGAAAAAAAATGAAAGAAATGCATCAATTTTGGTTAAAAAGCTTTATCATTTAGTTTTCTTTGTCTCGCCTTTTTGTGAAATTTAACACCGACCAGTTATTGTTTACACATCTGGATGACCTTGAGAACAGCTGGTGTCATATTTCCCGGGACATTCTCACGTCTCGGGAGGAGAAGGGTTTAAAGTAGGGTGACTAGAAATTAAACCTATATTTTAAAATATTTTTAAAAAATTATAATTTTTATTGTGATTTCCAACCCCTCTAATTAATTAAACATATATATAATAAAATCTATTAATTAAAAAAATTAAAAAAACTATCGGAGGTCGTTTTTGACATCAGAAAGCAGTTTTAAATAATTTTACCGAAAGAAAATCGGTGCACTACAACTTTAGAACGATTAATTAATTTTGATAAAAAACTCCCATTAAAAAAACATTAAAAAACAATAAAGCGTGAAGCGCGCGTCATTAAAGGTTGATTAAAATCGCTACAAAATTTTTTCGCGCAGGAAAAAATTTTGAAAAAATTTGGGGACCTAAAAAACATTCCAAAAATAAAAAAAAAACGCCCAGTTTTTTTAACGCTATAAACCTTGCTCGAGTCAGACTCGAGCGTGGGTATTAAAATTTGGAAAAGGGGGATCCTTAGATTGGTAAAATAGGCGAATTTCCTCCTACAACTTCGGTGGTTGTTCAGGATACAGTTAAGGTTTTAACAAAGTTCAAGCGAATACATAATTAGCAAAATAAAGTTGAAATAAAGTTATTAAAAAAAAAATTATTACAAATATCATAAATAACAGTTCACAAATGCGTATATAGAGATATTTTTGGAGGGGGGAAATGGTCTTCACAATTTGAAATTGATCAAACACACAGTGAAATGCTCATATACACTTGCGCCATCTATTGTAGGATAAATGTACTCTTCCAGAAACCTTCGAGGGAGTATATTAAACAACTTCCGAAAGTTTCATGGCAATTGGATAAACAGTGTGGTAATGCATGAAGGACAGACACACAGACATACATTCATTTTTATATATATAGATTATGTATTTATAGTTATATGTATTTTTATTTGAATATTGATATTTAATATTTTACATTTTTGAAAATATATGTAGATTCTACTTGCTTTATTAATTGAACTATCTTAAACTGTGTCTTAACTTTGTTAACCTCTTTGTTTATCAATATTCTAAAATTTACTATTTTCTGATAGTATTTAAAATAATTTCAAAAATGTTTGTTTAATTTTAGTGAATCTAGTCAAAATTTTACTTCTCCAACTTGTACATATGAAGTGGTTTTTGAAGGTAGTTATGAGCTTCTCCATGATGTAACATGCCCAATGAAGAAAGCAATTCAAAGTTCTTATAGAAATGCTGTAGTGAAACAATTCAGGACAACTTTAAAAAAGTAAGTATTCTATTCTAGTAAAGATATAAATAGTTTATTATTAAAATTATTAATGTTATTATTAAATTATAACAAATTACAAATGATCAAACATATTTACTAATTTGAGAATTTTAAATAACTGTAGTTTGTCCAGAACTGATCAACTTTTAGCCCACATTCATTCATTTTCTCACAATTCTGTTTATTATACTGTGCCAGAGAGCATTAAAAATGGAATTCCAGTGTTTGATTTATTGCCAAATTCTGATACAAATATTTCACTGAAGTAAGTTTATATTTATTATTACACATTTGATAATTATAGAGATTATTTTGATTTAGTGAATGTTTTTTAATTCAATCAAATAGTTTTGATTACATTAATAAGATTTAATTATAAAAATTTTTATTGTTTAGAAATTCTTCCCATGCACAGTTTGCTAATTTTTGGAAACCTATTTGTTTACTTGATATAAATATTTGGTAAGGAAATTTGTAAATTATGTTTTAATTAAATTTATTTAATTTTTAAGAAAATTTATATATATAAAATATATATATTATAAATACAGTACACATATTTACATACAATATTCTTTATTAAATTATTTTATAATTATATTAATTTGTTTTAAAGTAAGGAATGTTAATTCTCAAAATGTAGAGCTAAATTAATTTATGTTTTATGATATGAATATATTAAAATAGAAAAGGGATATGCTAAATGATCGCTGGATTAAATTGGGCTACTTTACCATTATTATTTTTAATAGTGGTAAAATAGCCCAATTTAATCAGGCAATTATTTGGCTTATTACTAAAATATCAGGCTTCAGAAAAGTGCTTCAAAGGACAAAATGTTGTTTTTTTAATCCTATGTATAACATAAACTTAGAAAATATACAAAAATTCTCAAATAGACAATACTTAAAAAAAATCCATCTCACTTTGTCCCTTTTACACACCATTATGAAATAACCTATTAATATTTTATCAAATCTGTGTGTGAGATTAGCAGTGGGTCACTGGGTTAATCCCCAAATGACCACTTACTCTGCACGGGTTGGAAAAACCAGATCTCGGAGTCAGTTGGATGGCTAGGAGGACAAATCGAGTGGGGAGGGGGTGAGGAAGCTGGCAGGTGTCCTTAAATGACAGGAGACAGGTTCAACAAAATAACAAAGCATTTATTATATAACTAAATAGTAAATACACAAGGCGATAACAAGATGTAGGTTAAATGCGATTAAATACAGCTAAGAATAATGTGGCTAACATAAGTTCACCATACCCAAAAGGGACACACTAATAGCTTTAACAGCTAGTCTGAGAGAGAGAGTTCTCAAGCTTTAAAACGATGCAAATACCTCAATGCGGATATAATCATCACGTGTTTGATGAATATGTTTTTTTTTTTTTTAATTCAAGTAAGCATGCGTATTGTCTCAAATATTTGTTCATGGATTTTATAATATTGAAATTTCCAATTTGTTTTGTGCCTTTTGTTAGGTTTAATTTAATGAAAACTGATAGTGCAACTTTTTTCTTCATTGTCCTAGCTTTCCTATCAACCAGGTATCGTTGACATTGCTTTCGGACATTAGCCTTTCAGACTGTCACTTTGTTTTGTTTTTATAGATTAATCTTCATATTTACATTTGGAAAATCAAATATAATCAGTTATTCACAGTATACTGAAAACTTTAATATGTCCAGTATATTCTCTGAAACAATCTGTAATACATAAAAATTATTACTATTTAAAAACTGTACACAATTTAAATATTTGATTATAATTTAAATTGTTTATAGTTTTTAAATAGTAATAATTTTTATGTATTACAGATTGTTTCAGAGAATATACTGGACATATTAAAGTTTTCAGTATACTGTGAATAACTGATTATATTTGATTTTCCAAATGTAAATATGAAGATTAATCTATAAAAACAAAACAAAGTGACAGTCTGAAAGGCTAATGTCCGAAAGCAATGTCAACGATACCTGGTTGATAGGAAAGCTAGGACAATGAAGAAAAAAGTTGCACTATCAGTTTTCATTAAATTAAACCTAACAAAAGGCACAAAACAAATTGGAAATTTCAATATTATAAAATCCATGAACAAATATTTGAGACAATACGCATGCTTACTTGAATTAAAAAAAAAAAAAACATATTCATCAAACACGTGATGATTATATCCGCATTGAGGTATTTGCATCGTTTTAAAGCTTGAGAACTCTCTCTCTCAGACTAGCTGTTAAAGCTATTAGTGTGTCCCTTTTGGGTATGGTGAACTTATGTTAGCCACATTATTCTTAGCTGTATTTAATCGCATTTAACCTACATCTTGTTATCGCCTTGTGTATTTACTATTTAGTTATATAATAAATGCTTTGTTATTTTGTTGAACCTGTCTCCTGTCATTTAAGGACACCTGCCAGCTTCCTCACCCCCTCCCCACTCGATTTGTCCTCCTAGCCATCCAACAGACTCCAAGATCTGGTTTTTCCAACCCGTGCAGAGTAAGTGGTCATTTGGGGATTAACCCAGTGACCCACTGCTAATCTCACACACAGATTTGATAAAATATTAATAGGTTATTTCATAATGGTGTGTAAAAGGGACAAAGTGAGATGGATTTTTTTTAAGTATTGTCTATTTGAGAATTTTTGTATATTTTCTAAGTTTATGTTATACATAGGATTAAAAAAACAACATTTTGTCCTTTGAAGCACTTTTCTGAAGCCTGATATTTTAGTAATAAGCCAAATAATTGCCTGATTAAATTGGGCTATTTTACCACTATTAAAAATAATAATGGTAAAGTAGCCCAATTTAATCCAGCGATCATTTAGCATATCCCTTTTCTATTTTAATATATTCATATCATAAAACATAAATTAATTTAGCTCTACATTTTGAGAATTAACATTCCTTACTTTAAAACAAATTAATATAATTATAAAATAATTTAATAAAGAATATTGTATGTAAATATGTGTACTGTATTTATAATATATATATTTTATATATATAAATTTTCTTAAAAATTAAATAAATTTAATTAAAACATAATTTACAAATTTCCTTACCAAATATTTATATCAAGTAAACAAATAGGTTTCCAAAAATTAGCAAACTGTGCATGGGAAGAATTTCTAAACAATAAAAATTTTTATAATTAAATCTTATTAATGTAATCAAAACTATTTGATTGAATTAAAAAACATTCACTAAATCAAAATAATCTCTATAATTATCAAATGTGTAATAATAAATATAAACTTACTTCAGTGAAATATTTGTATCAGAATTTGGCAATAAATCAAACACTGGAATTCCATTTTTAATGCTCTCTGGCACAGTATAATAAACAGAATTGTGAGAAAATGAATGAATGTGGGCTAAAAGTTGATCAGTTCTGGACAAACTACAGTTATTTAAAATTCTCAAATTAGTAAATATGTTTGATCATTTGTAATTTGTTATAATTTAATAATAACATTAATAATTTNGTCCCTGAAAGCCTGCTGAATCTTGCGAATGGTTTACACTCGGGTATCGCCAAGGTTTTTGGCAAAATTTGATGTAATATCGCTGCTCACGTTGTTCAGTCATTTTCCAGCTTAGTGGAATCCGACGAGAGCGCACATGACCTCACTCATAGGCCCATGTTTAAAAGGAGAGAAGAGAGCTGTCCGTCTTTTAAGCGATGGACTTAACCCTGTAGAAGTAGGAAAGAAGAGAAAGCATGAGATGTGAAGTGTGAAAAGAAAGGAAGATAGGAAAGCTTGAAAGAAGGCATGGGACCCAGAGAGCGCCTCTCATCGGCGTTTATTAAAACAAAACAAAAAGTTACAAGACAGATACAGCAGTATCAAAAGTACAATTCAAGGTCCTGATAGTAGGTTTCCATATCCTATTCATTCCAGAAAAAAATTTGAGGTGTTCACGCAAAAGCAACTGTCCTATCAGCTCGACAGATCAAAAACACCTTTACAAAAGAAATTAAGTAAAATTAAATTAAATGTTAATTACAATATTTACATGATGAATGACAAGATGAATAGCATGAAAAAAAACATGCCATCTCTCCAATGAGCACACAAAAGTCTTGTTTACTCACTGAAGCTATCGTCTTCATCACTATGTTGTGAAAAATCTGTTATGTCATTATCTTCTTCTTCTTC